GTTTGTAACATGAGGCGTTTGTAACTCGAGGTACCACTGTATTTCCAAAGGAGGAAGAGATTATCAGAAGTTTAACCGTGTTCCCTCGTAATACTGGGAGAGTAGGTAATGAAAGTGTAGGTGAAATTCAGTTTTGGTAACTATGGCTATACTTGCACACTAGCATCTTAATCCTATGCTTTAGCTCTGGTATATGCTTGCATGATTGGTTTGATCACACCAAGATTCTGTTAATTTCAGAGAATGTTAGCATAACAGCCACAATCAAGAAAGGTTGTTTGCGCAGTTCTCACCTCTACATAGCATCGCATCAGGCTCCTTATGTAGTGAAGAAAGCAGCTTGAAAATTCATAATGAGAGGCATTAGGGAAGAGAGAGAGAAAACACCTCCTGTGGCATATATACAGTCTCTTGCATAAATGGACTCTCTGGATCATAGCCAATGTGATTTTGACTGAAGGGCAAGCATTCTTGATGAACTATGTAAATGTGCATTATATGCAGTATAAAGGCTCTTAAGAACCTTGATTGTAGAACAGCACTACCATTTTATCATCATTTAACATTTATAAAAACCTAAATTGCACTAGGATCTGTACAGGAATAAAAGTAAACAAGTTCCTGCCCACAGGATCATAATCATAACATTTCAATATATTTCATTATAGAAGATGATGCTTTGATAACTCATTGGGTTCGTTATTCTCATTCCACCCACAAAATGGGATTTAAAACCCAGTGGTGCAAAAGCAGTACAGATAAGTTATAGAAAACTCCTATACTTGCATTATGCTGGGCCAGGAGTGATGGTGATAAGAGATACACCACCATTATGCCAGTGGAGCAGCTGCTGAATTCAATGTGTGCTTAGCCCAGCAGAGGAAGAGGGAAATGTATTACCAGGAAATACAAAACAATGTAGACAAAGGGACTCACATCCTGGAATCTGCACCCATCAAGGCAAACAAACAATAAGGCTCGCACACCATCAACACACAGAGGAAGCCAATGAACTTACTTCAAGACCCATACTGTTTATCATAGAACTGTAGAGTTGGAAGGGATCCCAAGGGTCATCTAGTCCAAGCACCAATCTCAACTCAATCATACATGAAAGATGGCAGCCAAACTCTGCTGAAAAACCTCAATGGAAGGACACCTGAGGGAGTCCATTCCACTGTTGAACAGCTCTTACTGTCAGAAAGTTCTTCCTGATGTTTAGTTGGATTCTGCTTTCTTGTAACTTGAATCCCTTGGTTCGGGTCCTGGCCTTCGTGTGACATCCCTTTAGATCAGGCATAGGCAATGTTTTGAGGCTACAGTTCCCATCATCCCTGACCACTGGTCCTGTTAGCTAGGGATCATGGGAGTTGTAGTCCCAAAACATCTGGAGGGCCGAGTTTGCCTATGCCTGCTTTAGATACTTGAAGATAGCTGTCCTATCTCCTCTTTCCCAAGCTAAACATACCCAATTTCCTCAACTGTTCCTTGTAAAAATTGGTTTCCAGACCCTTGATCATCTTGGTCACCCTCCTCTGTACATGTTCCAGCTTGCCAGTGTCATGAAGTAGTGATCCTGTGAGCAGGTATCGCTGGGTGGGGCCCCTCAGGCAGGTGGTAACAATTAGTCCCCAAAGCGGGAGTATGTGATGGGGCTGGCTGGTTGCCAGCATTCCCCAGCCCCTGTAGATCTTTGAGTTAACCAGCCAGGAGAGAGAGAGAACATGCCATGTATTAGACTTGCTGTTTGATGTTCTGTAGCTGAGGCCAGAGAAGAAGCCAATAAAGCCTGATAACCCATTCGGTGCCTGCATGTGATTGATTAGTAGCTTGAAGGGAGGACTCGAGAAAGCGACCCCCTCCTTGACAGTCAATACGCACCCAGAACTGGACACAGAACTCACATGTGTGGTCTGATCATGGCAGATTTGACTGACCTGACTTGCTATAAAGTCTTTACTTGTTACAGTGAATTGACAAAAGGTCTCTGATTAACACATTTGTGATGTATAAATTGTTGCTTTGTTTCAATGGGCCCAATGTTCACACTTGCCTTTTGTTGTTGTTTAGTTGTTTAGTCGTGTCCGACTCTTCGTGACCCCATGGACCAGAGCACGCCAGGCACTCCTGTCTTCCACTGCCTCCCACAGCTTGGTCAAACTCATGCTGGTAGCTTTGAGAACACTGTCCAACCATCTCGTCCTCTGTCATCCCCTTCTCCTTGCACCCTCCATCTTTCCCAACATCAGGGTCTTTTCCAGGGAGTCTTCTCTTCTCATGAGGTGGCCAAAGTATTGGAACCTCAGCTTCACAATCTGTCCTTCCAGTGAGCACTCAGGGCTGATTTCCTTAAGAACTGATAAGTTTGATCTTCTTGCAGTCCATGGGACTCTCAAGAGTCTCCTCCAGCACCATAATTCAAAAGCATCAATTCTTTGGTGATCAGCCTTCTTTATGGTCCAGCTCTCACTTCCATACATCACTACTGGGAAAACCATAGCTTTAACTACATGGACCTTTGATGGCAAGGTGATGTCTCTACTTTTTATAGATGCTGTCTAGGTTTGTCACTGCTTTTCTCCCAAGAAGCAGGCGTCTTTTAATTTTGTGACTGCTGTCACCATCTGCAGTGATCATGGAGCCCAAGAAAGTAAAATCTCTCACTGCCTCCAGTTCTAACTGTAGCCTTAAGTGCTAATAATTCTCTTCTTTAAAATGTTCGTTGATCTGCAAAGATACTGTTCTAAAGAAAATATATTCTCTTATATCATATATATATTTCTAAATATCTGTGATTGTTTAATAAAACATGTCACTTTATCACAGTGATGGACAAGATTTCATAATTTTGGGTTGGCATAATGACATCCTATGAGCTTTCAATTACACATAAGGCAGATAGCAATAATATGAACAAGTGATTAGGATTATATGAGCACTTTTCTTTCAAACCTAATTAAATGTCATACAAATTTGATACCAGAATGCTGGAGTAGGAGATGCTTCCAGCTGCAAGCTTTGAATGCTGCCTGGTCATTTATCTTCTAATCTAAGCAATATATGGAATTGCAATGGACTCCCCATACTTCAGGGGATATAGCACAGTTTTCTTTAAAAAAAACAAGCATGTACAAATCAGCAGTTTTTATTTTGAAGGAAAAGTAGCCGCACTGGGCCCCTGTTTTGATCATGCCCCTGATGCAGCTTAGAGCCCTCTGCAAGTTGTCCACCAAATATTGCCCTTCCCAACTGCTAGTTGCCTTCAAAGGTGCTAAAAGGTGTGAAAAGCAAAAGTAAACAAAGTGTTATATGCATTGGTGCTATATAAATAAGTAAGATGAAAAGAACAGCTCAGGTTATACATATGACAAGTTTATTATTGTTTGGTGCTATTCCATTTTTATATAGACTTAAAATATTCAGATATCTAATAAAAAAGAGAATGATATGCAGTATTGGTCATACTCAGAGTAGGCCCATTGAAATCAATGGACTTTCTCCAAGTATGAATAACATTGGATATCACCTGGAATGTATTACACTGTAAGTGATGATGATATGATGGACACAAAGATATACATAGAAAAATAATTTGATTCAAATCTATACTAAGAGGAGATTTCATTTTTATTTACCAATGTTACAATCAGAAAACTTGAAATATATGGCTACAAGTATGGGAGCTTTAAAAGAAACTAGTGATAATACTTTGTAGTTTTCTTTACATATGTATACTTTTTAAAAAAAGCAGCAATGTTCTAGATTTCTTACTGAGTAATTAAAAAAATATATTCTCCCTTTGCAAAATCTAGTACTGCAAGAATGAGCAAAAAATTGAAAACAACTAACTCCCCCCCCCCGCAAAGGACACATAAGTTTACTGGATTTCTTACACTATATACATGTTGCTACAGACTAATAGTGCTGCTATAATCTTTAAAAATTGGTAGGAATATATGATAGTAATGATATGATGAGTCACCAATATGAGTTCAGTAGAAATATGTTCCAGGCACTATTAGAATATACTAAATTGTGCTTTTGAACTGTAGTAGCAATCATCCTGTCCAAAAGGCAGGATTTCGGTTCTAAGCCAAGATTCCTAAGATGAAATGAAATTTATAGCCCAGTCAGATAAGTGATGAATAATATGATTTTGCAGTGGACAATTTGAAATTATTCTTACATTTTAGAACCTGAATGCTCCAAATATATACCCTAGATACATTTAAACATAAAGTTCAGTATTTTAGAAGTAATACTAACAGTTCAGAAAGTGAATTATGCATGTTACATATCCTTGAAGTAAACAATTAGTTGCTTACTATATACATCATACTACCATATTATGGCTGCTGCTTCAGTGACTAAATTCCTGGGGTACTTCTGAGTAGACATATAGTCTAGCCCAGGGGTCTGTAACCCGCGGCTCCGGAGCCGCATGTGGCTCTTTTACACCTTTGCCGCGGCTCCGGGGCGGATACTAGCGAGGGGAGGAGGCGCATTGTGCGCCCTGACACTCCCCAATGTGGCGGGCGCTGTACTGGCTGTGACGTCGCATGGGGGCGGTGCGTGCGTTAGTCACACACCGTCCCGACGTCACCTTCCCGCCCGCCCACCCGCTACATTGTAAGGGGCATGTACGCTGGTCACTGCATTGAAAGGGGGCATGTACGCTGGTCACTGTTTTGAAGGGGAGTGAAGAACACACACACACAAAAAGGTAACTTGTTAATTTAACGTTTATTTCTATGAGGAGGAGTAATTCTGAGGGGTCAAACAAAGAAATAATAAAAAAGTGACAAAAAAGTTATTTTTATAATGACGAGTTTTGCGGCTCCCAGTTTTTTTTTCTTTGGAAACGGGTCCAAGTGGCTCTTTTTGTCTTAAAGGTTGCAGACCCCTGGTCTAGCCTCTCCCTGATAGTGGTCAGCCAGATCAGTTTTGCCTTGGGGTGGGATATTTTTAACGTTAATTTTATAATCAGGCAAGCTTCTGCATTTCTAGATGATATTTACATATTTTATTGTGAAGTTTGTATATTTTGCTATATCTTCTCTGTTTTTCTTTTCACTGTCACTCTGTCCCATGGTTGATTGCAACATAAATTTGATGTCATTTCTGACATAAATTTAAGTATGCTGTCAGTAAACTTTAGTTTTCAAAATGTTTGCTTTTCTTTTAGGATACTTATACTACATAATTTGTCAGGTAGTTTAAAGAAAGATTAGAGACCTCTAATTATCTAATAGTTGATAGAACTTTTTTGTATTCTTATGTAAAGGTAATTCACACTCTTATCTTTTACCCAGAAGTACAAAAATATAAACGATTGCATGTTCTCAGATTCAGCATTTTCAAAAATCCCTTATGCCATGGAGTTCACTATCACAGGAAACACTCTTGTCAGTGGTTCCTGAATAATTATTAAGGAGTCTAATTACGGTAATGGAATCTTGGGACTCTTCAGAATCCACCCGTCGCTTCTAGCATCTGATCTCAATGTGAAATAAATTGAGCATCTCATGCTGAATATCACTTATTGTCAAGTCATGGAAAGTAAACACAACATTCCTGTATCTAACACCCATGTATTAGGAATAATGCTTTTCACATAATCCATTTGCAATCATCTACTACCATCACCATCCCTTTTCTCAAATCTATTTCAATTATTACATAGAAAATGCAGGCCAGAAGTGTATAGGAGGCATGTTTCTCCAGTAACTGTAAAGTGGAACTCCAGAAATCTTGCCCCCAGTGCAGTCTTTGTGCTTCAGATAAAACCCATTTATAAGGTATGATCTTTGTGTCCCACTTTGCAGGTTTAGAAAAGCAGGAACACAAATTCACTTGTACTTTTTCTATTCCTATTAGCTTTCGAGTCTGCTTTTAGTATGTAACCGTATCCTCAGCAAAATGGTAATTTCAAGTATAGCTCCAACTTACAGTATTAGAATATTGGAGGTGGACGCAATTATCTGTGCAAGAAACTGCAAAAGTATAGCGTAACAACTTGAAACTAGCCTCTGAATCAAAACTTTCTGAAAGGGTCTTTTTATAGTGGTTTTTCCATTCTGTGTTATAGCTTTGTGTTCATACAGTTACCAGTGCTTAAGCGGGTGATTGGCGCTGTTGAAGCAACCACCTAAAATGCAGACTTATTCCAGTGTAAATGTCCTAAATATTACTTCACCAAGCAAGCAGATCAGATCTAGGTATCTGCTTTTTCCAGAAATAGTTGTTCCTCAGTAGCTAAGCCATATTTAAGATGAAGCACTGCTGTATCTGGAGCTACTTGCTGTTGTTCATCAAGACACATTCTAGGGAATACTAGTGTCAGGGAAGCTGGAATTTTGATCATTCTCCAATAAGAGTCTTTACTCTTCTCCAACAGCAGGTGGTGGTTGACAGAGTTTGTATAGCCTGCCAAAAACAAAGAACAATTATAAAAGTGCCTGAGTTTTGTGAAACTGTCTAAAACATTTAAACTTTCTACTAACTACTGGAGAGCAGGAGTGGAAGTAATTTTCAGGCCCCCAACCTGCCCAGTATTTTGCCTAACCAAAGGTCGCAACTCTAGTTCAATTGAGTATCCGGAATAAAAGAAAATATCTGTTTAGCTCATGAAAATATGCCCCAATCTAGGCAAGTTGCACCCAAGCTTTCAAAAGAGTTCATTAGAAAGATCCATGTCCAGTCAATTGCAAGGGGAAGACCGCCAAAGTATGGAATCTCATGAGTTACCACAGTCGGGACAAGATACATGTTGTCAGAGCTGGCTCCGAGTCCCAGCTCACAGAGGACCAACGCTAGCCGGTAGTAATATACAAAAGTCTTTATTGAAGTACAGTTTCCATTTCCAAACCGGAGCGCCCCAGCTCTACGTCTTAGGGGCTAGACCGGCGAAGCTCCATCTGAGTCTCCACCCCCTGTACACCAACTTAAGGCTCTAATCTTACTCCACCTTTTCCGTCTCTCCTTTCTCCTCTGGGTCCTTCTGCCCCCCGGGGTCTCCTCCTTTCTGGACTCTTCTGACGCTGACCCCCCTGACTCCTGTCCCTCCTTTCGGCGGGCTTTGGGACCTGGCTCCCTATCCGGGCTGCCAACTGCGCCGCCCTCCTGTACATTTGAACTTGGCGCGCGCGCCCAGCTTTCGACCTTCCTCTTGACCGTTTCCTCACTCCCCGATGGAGGCGTGGCCAATCCTGACTCATGTCCTCCCGCTGGCGGTGAGCCGCCTGCTCCCGATACCTGGGACTCCTCCCCCCTACTGCGCTCTGGTGGGGAACCTGGTCCTGATTTCCAACTGCTGCTCTCTGAGTCCCCTCTGGCCCCCTTTTCCTGGGGTGTCCCCCTCGGCACCCCCCTTGCTCTGACCATGGGAGCCCCTTTCTGTGAATCCTCCGATTCGCTGGAAAGACTCAGAGACCTCGGACCGCTGTCATCACTAACATTTCCTTCGGATTCCTCCCCCTCGCTCTCTATTTCTTCCCTTTCCTGTGCCTCTGCTCCTGAGCCCCTGACATCCATCCCCCCCTCGAAGCCCCCCCTTCCCCCCTCCCCTCCTTCAGGTGTGGGTACTGGGTGCTCCGTCGTTGTGGGGGTGAGTGCCGGATACAGTTCGTCCCCCGTGGCGTGCATCCAACCGGATAAGTCCGGCTCGTCCTCCGTGCTCTCGCCGACGTCGATCTCCTCTGCTTCCATCTCTTTGCCTCCGTGCTCAAACCCCAGGTCCTCCCCCAACACGTCCATGTCCGTCTCTCCCCCGTTCTCCGCTGGGGACGTTGCCTGCCAAGGACCCCCCAGCCACTTCTTGCGCCACTGCTCCTCTGGTCGATCGTCCCACCAATAAGAGCGGTCTGAGGCAGACCCCGAGGGTGATCCCTCCGGGGAACGTGTGTCTAGTGCCGGTTCCTCGTCCGAGGTGAACCCCTGGAATGTGCTGGCTGAAAGTGTGGGTGTGAAAAGCCAGTCGTCGAAATACTCGGCTGGCATGGGCCTGTGTGGGAAAAGGGCATGAAACTCGTCCTTGAGCAGCGGCTCGTCCAAAGCATAGTCCGGCACCCAACTGTTGGCGCTGGCCGGGGTACCTACTCTGGCGAGAAGATATTCTACTCCTTCTTCCCCCCATCTCGAGTCTAAAATCTCTGTGACCTCGTTGATGGGTTCCCCCCTTGGCGACCCCCTCCTTGTGGGCGTTTCCCTGAGCGGGTCTGGTGCCGTGCCTGGCTCCTGAAATCTGTGAGGTGCTTTGTAGGGCGTGAGCACTGATCTATGGAAAACTGGGTGCATTCTGGATCCCTCCGGAAGTGTCAACCGGAAAGCCACTGGATTAACCTGTGCCTCGACTTGGTAAGGCCCTAGCTGCTTATGTCCGAGCTTCTTCTTCGCTAACGATCTGGCCGGCACTGCCTGGGCTGCTAACCAAACCCAGTCTCCCACCTGTATGTTTTCCCCAACTCTTCTGTGTTTGTCAGCCTGCAGTTTGTATGCGTGCTTTGCTAGTTCTAACTGCCTCCGAAGCTGTTCGTGGACCTCCTGCAACTCTGATGCTAAGGCTTCCGCTGCCTGTGGCTCCCCCTCCTCCACTCTCTCTCTTCCCGGGAAGGTTCTGGGATGCCTCCCGTTGTTGGCGAAGAACGGTGTCACCCCCGTGGACACGTGCTTCGTGTTGTTGTAGGCGAACTCGGCAAGCGGCAGGTAGTCCACCCATGTTGCCGGCTGCTGATTTGCGTAGCATCTCAGGTACTGCTGCATGACGGCGTTGACCCGCTCCGCTTGTCCGTTGGTTTGTGGGTGTCTCGCCGACGCTAGGTTGATCTTGACGTTCAGGATGCCCATCAGCTTCTGCCAGAAGTTCGAGATGAACTGTCGCCCCCGGTCGGACAGGATAGACCGTGGTAGACCGTGAACCCTGAACACGTGGTCTATGAACAGTTTGGCGGTCTGTTCCGCCGTGGCCACCTTCGCGCACGGAATGAAGTGGGCCATTTTGGTGAACATGTCCACCACCACTAGCACTGCTGTCTTGCCCCTCGAGCTGGGCAGATCCGTGACAAAGTCCAGGGCCACCCTCTCCCACGGTTCGATCGGTGTCTGCAGCGGTTCCAGCAGTCCCGCCGGCGGTTTGTGCACTGACTTGGCCCTTTGGCAGGTGTCGCACCTCGAGACGTAATCCGCGACTTCCCCCCGCATCTTGGGCCACCAAAAATCTCTGGCTACTAACTCTACAGTCTTCTCTTTGCCAAAGTGCCCGGCGGTGGGTGCGTCGTGCAACTGCTGCAGTACCTTCGCGCGGAGGTCGTCTCCAGGTACGTAGAGGGCCCCTTTGCGGATGAGCAATCCGTCACGTATCTGGAACTCGTCATCCTTCGCCGTGCCCCTGTACACCTCCTCCATCTTGGCTTGTGCGAAGGGGTCCTCCTGCAGCGCGCGACGTACAGCATCCAGGTCCACGGTTGCCGAAGCGCACGCCCACGCTTTCGGTGCGAAAATGTGCTTGGCCGCCGCTGGTGCCGCCTCCTCGAGGTATTGCGGCTTCCTGGACAGTGCATCCGCCATGACGTTGTTGTCGCCTGGGATGTACTCTATCCTGAAGTCGAAATCCGCAAAGAACTCCGCCCATCGTATGTGCCTCTGGTTCAGGAACCTTGCCGTGCGCCAGTACTCCAGGTTCTTATGGTCTGTGCGTACCTGCACTGTGTGTTTGGCTCCGATAAGGAAGTGCTGCCACGCCTTGAATGCTGCATGAATGGCTAGCAACTCCCTGTCCCAGATGGTGTAGTTCTGCTCTGACTTGCTGAGCTTCCTGGAGTAGAAGGCGCACGGTCTCCAGTCCCCATGCGGGTCTTGCTGCAACAGTACTGCTCCCACGGCCCTGTCTGAGGCGTCCGTTTCAACCCTCATCGGTCTGCTGGGATTCACATGCAGTAGCTGCTCTTCTGACGAGAAGAGACGCTTGAGTTTTTGAAAGGACTGCTCCGCTTGCTCCGTCCAGATGAACTTCTTCTTCTTGGAGCTGAGCGTGTCGGTAATGGCCGCCGTCTGCATCGCGAACCCCTTGATGAACTTGCGGTAAAAGTTAGCAAAGCCAACAAACCTCTGGACCTCCTTCCGATTGCGCGGGCTCTTCCAGTCCAACACTGAGCGAACCTTGGCGCTGTCCATGGCGAGCCCCTTGTCCGACAATTTGTAGCCCAGGAAATCCACCTCCGTCATGTCGAACTGGCACTTCTCCAGCTTGGCGTACAGTCTGTGCTCCTGCAGTCTCTGCAGAACTTCCTTGACGTCTCTCTCGTGAGCCTCCTGCGATTCTGAAAATATCAGGATGTCGTCCAGGAAGCAGACGCACTTCTTGTAGAGGAGTCCCGCTAACACGTGATGCATGAAAGCTTGAAAACAGTGGGAGCCATTTTGTAATCCAAAGGGCATAACCCTGTATTCATAGGTGCCCAGGGGCGTGAACATGGCCGTCTTCCACTCGTCGCCTTCCCGTATGCGAATCAGGTTGTACGCCCCTCGCAGATCCAACTTGGTGAAAACGCGTCCTTTTCTCACCGTCGCGAGCAGGTCGTCGATCTTGGGCATGGGGAAGGCTGTGGGCTTTGTTTTCGAGTTCAAAATTCTATAGTCCACTACAAGCCTTTTTTGGGGCGTGTCCTTTTTCTTCACAAAGAATACGGGACTGCCCCCCACTGCCTTGGACTCCCGGATGAAGCCGCGCTTCAAGTTGTGATCTATGAACTCCCTGAGTTCCTGCAGTTCGTCCTCAGACATGGAATACAGTTTCCCTGTCGGCAGCGTCGCCCCCGGCAGGAGGTCAATCTTGCAGTCATAAGATCTGTGGGGAGGTAGCTTGTCCGCTTCCTTCTCGCAGAAAACCTCCAAAAACGCTGCGTACTTGATGGGCACTGCTTGCAGCGTGCCTAATTGTAGCTGCGGGTCATCCTCTTCCCCTTCCGTGCTAGGCAGAATGCAATGTTCCGCACAGTAAGAGGAGCCGAAAGTCAGTTGGCGCTGGTACCAAGCCAATGCTGGGCTGTGCCTGTGCAGCCAACTCATGCCCAATACTACAGGCGTGTCCGACAGTTGGGTGACATTGAAGCTGATGACTTCCCGGTGATTCCCAATTTGCATCACCATCGGAGGCGTTTGCTTCACCACCTGCCCCCCCAGCAATTCCCTGCCATCCACCGTGACAACCTTCAGGGGCAGCGTGGCTGGCAGTAGCGCTATGCTGTGTTGTTGAATGAAATCCAGTCCTATAAAGTCTGCGTTACTGCCAGAGTCAATGGTAATGGGTACTTCCATAGTGAGTCCATTGGGTAGCTGGAGCGATGCGGTGAGCTGCACCACTGGTTTGGGCGGGAGGGGGTCTGTGGGCTGCAAAATTTCTGGGGACTGCTTCACTGACTCGTCTGGCTGGGCCCCAGTGCCTCTTCCTCCAGCCAGACTCCGTCGTTTCCCTGCTGTGGTTCTCTCTGCTGAGTTGCTTCTGTTACTGTTGCGGAGGCTGCAGTGTGTCTGTGGAGCCTCTGGGGACACTCTTTCGCCATGTGCTGCGGATTGTCGCAGATGTAACACTTCCTGTTCCCTCTAGGAGGCTTCGCTTTGACTGCTCCCGGTGCTAGGGCTCTGGTAGCTGACTGAGCCCTGGCGCCTCCAATCTCCATTGGTTCCTCTCCCCCTCCCTGCGGAGGCGTGGATTGCGCACGCGCTGCATCCTTGGGAAAGAGGAGAGGTGCTCTCGCTGGCGTGCGTCCCCAACGCCCTTCTTCTCTGCTCCATGGACGTTCTTCCAGGCGCACCCCAATCGACAGCGCCCTCTGTACCACCTCCTGAGTGGTCTGTGGTCTCTCCCCCCTTGCCATTTCGTCTTTCACATTTGCATTCAAGCCTTCCCAAAAAAGGTCTCTGACTGGAATGGAATCTTTCTCCCATCCCAGCGCATGGACTAATGCAAAAAAGCGGGAATGATACTGCCTTACACTGGCTCTCCCTTGTTTAAGCCCATGTATGTCTTTTCTGGCGATATCAACGTCTATATTTGATAAAAAACACGAATCCATCGCTTTAATGAATGCATCCGCACTTCGGAGCGCCGGATCCTTATCTCTCCACAGATTGCGCAGCCACGCTTTAGCTTCTCCATGCAAATGGGATAGGATAAACCCCACCTTCTCTTGCTCATCTCTAAAGTCTTTATCCAGCAGTTGCAGCGCAAACAGCACGTCTGCTCGGAAGTTAGGGTACTGCTGTAAATTCCCATCGAAATGAGATACAAGGCTGCCTCTCTCTTCCCCAGCCCAATCCCCTCTGATTTGGGTCCCGGTTGCCCTTGCTTAGTAAGCACTTCCAACCTGGCTTGGAGATCCTTGCAGGCGGCAGCCGCTTCGTCTTCCCTCTTCCTGGATGCGAGTATCTCCGCGTTGAGTTGTGTCACTGCATTATGCAGGGCTGCTGTAGTCATCTTGCCTGACTTTTGTGAGCTCGCGAAGCACCAATCTTCGCCCCTCGCTGCTTCCACTCACGCTGCGAGGTTCTTGGTGCAAAACGGGGATGGAGCTTACTGTCAGAGCTGGCTCCGGGTCCCAGCTCACAGAGGACCAACGCTAGCCGGTAGTAATATACAAAAGTCTTTATTGAAGTACAGTTTCCATTTCCAAACCGGAGCGCCCCAGCTCTACGTCTTATGGGCTAGACCGGCGAAGCTCCATCTGAGTCTCCACCCCCTGTACACCAACTTAAGGCTCTAATCTTACTCCACCTTTTCCGTCTCTCCTTTCTCCTCTGGGTCCTTCTGCCCCCCGGGGTCTCCTCCTTTCTGGACTCTTCTGACGCTGACGCTGACCCCCCTGACTCCTCCCCCTCTTTTCGGCGGGCTTTGGGACCTGGCTCCCTATCCGGGCTGCCAACTGCGCCGCCCTCCTGTACATTTGAACTTGGCGCGCGCGCCCAGCTTTCGACCTTCCTCTTGACCGTTTCCTCGCTCCCCGATGGAGGCGTGGCCAAACCTGACTCATGTCCTCCCGCTGGCGGTGAGCCGCCTGATCCCGCTACCTGGGACTCCTCCCCCCTACTGCGCTCTGGTGGGGAACCTGGTCCTGATTTCCAACTGCTGCTCTCTGAGTCCCCTCTGGCCCCCTTTTCCTGGGGTGTCCCCCTCGGCACCCCCCTTGCTCTGACCATGGGAGCCCCTTTCTGTGAATCCTCCGATTCGCTGGAAAGACTCAGAGACCTCGGACCGCTGTCATCGCTAACATTTCCTTCGGATTCCTCCCCCTTGCTCTCTATTTCTTCCCTTTCCTGTGCCTCTGCTCCTGAGCCCCTGACACATGTTAATAATGTTCAGTGTAAAACTAATTATGTACATTCTAACTCTACCTCCAGCAGGGGGGTTGGTATGAACAAAACATTTAAAACTAAAGGGAGAGAACTGACCATTCACTTGGCAGTCACATTTAAATGTTTCCAGAGAAAAATAAACAACCCCCAAGATAATAGGCTCTTAAATACGTCTCCAGGGATCAAAGGAATTTTACCCAGCTCCTAGTTCAGCCCAATCAGGATATTTTCCTAAACTGGCTAAAACTATATTACAATGGCTTTGTAATAATCAAGCACTCAACTCCACCAGAACTGGCATTTGGTACCTAACTGCATAAGCCCCAAAAGTATGGATGTCCCTAAGAAACAAACAAAAAAACACCCTGTACTTCAATATCAATAAAATTGTGGTCTGAGTCTAGGTAAAGTATTTGACAGAAATTGGAGAAATGATAGTCTTGGTCACAGGCCATTGATTGCAATGTTTCGTTACCTTGGAGCAGATGGTGGTGTTCGGTCCCTAACTCCTAAATTCTTGGCAGTGTTCTGCACTCGTGCTCCCTGTAAGACAGAAAAATAATTGTGCTTCTAATAGAGTTATTCCTTTAAAAATGGGGGGGGGGGAGCTCTCCACCAGGACATTTACAGGGTTATTCATATAAACAAAATGGTCAAATATTGGATACCTAAACAATCATTTTTCCTTGCTGATTGGGAAATAGAAGATGCCCCGAAGCAGCAGTAAGTAACTGAAGAGTTGTTTGTGGCTTCAAAAAATATAATCGAATAAAAAAGACTGTTCCCACTGCACCTTCAGTTTCTAAAGGGAGAATTCCGACCAAACATTCAAAAGCCTGGAGAGGTTCAAAGAATGATCAGCACCTGTGCTATCCATAATACTTTATTTCCTCATAAAATCTAACAAATTCAAAAAAAATATACCAAAGTTATTGGGAAAACTACAAGGTAGATGGCAATTAAGATCAAAACAGACGCATCCATTGCTGCGCTGTAAATGTTATGATTTATGTTTTGACTATCTCAAGGTCATGCTGAGCCGGGAGAGATAAATTCATGCGCTCAGCGAGCTGGGAATTCTTACTTTCATTTTGTACCTTGCACCTTGCAGTTTTTTCTCTGAAGTGGTGTTTTGTTTTGTTATTTCTAACGAAGCCATGGCACACTGGAGGAGTAGTGGCACTACCATCAGTGCCAATTTGGGGCACAATTGTGCCGATTTTGAGTGAGATCTCGCCCCAAATGGGCATAATCTTGCTTGAAATCAGCACCACTTCTTTGCCGAGGTGATGGGGCAGCAGTGGGCCCCTTTGGATTGATGGCTATGGCTCTAACCACCTGCCTTGGCTGAGAAATCCTGGGTTCCCAGGCCCAGTCCTGTTCAACCTGCATATGTGTTAAATATGAATGTACTTTCAAATGGATAGAATTGCTTTCCAGGGCCAATAATCCAACTGGGGGGAAACGGAGCATTGGGTAGAGGAAATGTAACGTATCGAAGCAATAAAGAAGCTTACTTGTTTGCGCATCACATCTGTAGCTTGCAGGATATAGCGAGGAGGTAGGCCATGACTCCGAGCAAGAATTATAGCCTGTTCCAGAGTGACACTCAGAGTGCACCTGCAATACGAAAATCAGATAAATGCAGGAGAGATCAAGTTTTACTGCGTTCTAGTTCTCTGTGTAAAAATGTGTAGTCATGTTGGTCCATTAGAACAAAAATCCAAAGCTGCAGTAGGATAATGTATTCATTAGGTCCAACCAAAAAAGTCAAAGTAGTGAGTAGCCTTTCTTTCTAGTTCTACAGAACTCTTCTTACCATCTAGAACACACACAAGGGAGGGGCTTATTCCAGAGCAAACACAAGCCCCGCCCACTAGATACCAAGCACTCTACTATTCAAATTAGGCTCAAGTGTTTTTCTTGCAGTTTTATGATGCAAACATGTTGAAACTGTGCACCACATGAAAATCAAAAGACTGTGAGAAACTTCCTATTGAATTTAAAGAGCATTTTTTTCTCAAACAGGTAAAACTCAAGTTTATAGAACATATTTTGTTTTTTTTTTTTTTTTCAATAAGTTTTTATTAAGGTTTTCCATTAAGAACAACAAACATATCCATATACATATCACAAAGTTTGTCTTATTTGGACCTCCCACAACTTCTCTGACAATCATTCGTAGTTCAAATCTTATCTTCGCATTCCTTTGTTTCAATATTCCCATTTTATTATATATTTCTGTTCTTATTTACCCACTGGTCATATTTCCTTATGTTTTCACAAAGCTTCTTTAAAACCCACTAGCGTTGTACCCTCCTCACATGTGCTTTCCAAATACTCCGTAAATTTTCCCCAGTCTTCAAAAAATCTATGGTCTTTTTGATATCTAATTTTCCCAGTTAATTTGTCCAGTTCTGCGTAATCTGTTAATTTTAGCCTCCATTCTTCTAAATTCGGAACCTCTTCTTGTTTCCACCTTTGAGCTAACAATGTCCTTGCTGCGGTGATTGCATACTGAAATAATTTCCTGTCTCTCCTACTTATATCCATTCTTGTTATCCCCAGCAGAAATGTCTCTGGTTTCTTAACAAAACTATATTTTAGCATTCTCTTTAACTCGATGTATATCGTCTCCCAGAACCCCCTTACTTTACTACATTCCCACCACATGTGCATAAATGTTCCTTCTTTTTCCCTGCACCTCCAACACTTGTTTGAACTTTTGTACATTTTTGCCAACTTTGCTGGTGTCATATACCATCTGTATACCATCTTCATTGTATTTTCTTTTAGTGTAACACATGCCGTAAACTTCAAATTTTCATTCCAAATTTTTTGCCAGTCATCCAAATCTATATTGTAACCTAGGTCTTTGGCCCACTGAATCATAACTACTTTTACTTCCTCATCCATTGTATGCCATTCCAATAAAATTTTATACATTTTCGAAATTATTTTACAATCATTATTCACAATTTCTGATTGGAATTTTGAATCTTTTTCTTTATAGCCTTTTTCTTTCTCTTCCTTTTTAAACATTTCATTTATTTGTCGATAGTGTAGCCAATCATAGACATGTTCCTTTACTTGTTCATATGGTTTTAACCTCCACTTTCCCCCATCCTTCACCACCAAATCTGCATAAGTAACCCAATCATTTCTCATATTAATTTTCTTAACACCTATGACTTCTAATGGGGATAACCAATGTAGTTTATAGAACATATTTTGGATTTTCATTTGAGAAGACAAATTTGCACCTAGATGATCCAAGCCTACTGCTCTTATCCGCTGGGCAACACATATACTTTAATGCTGTACTGTTTTTAACACTTGATTGGGAGCCGCCAAGAGTGGCTAGGGAAACTCAGCCAGATGGGTGGGGTATAAATAATAAATTTTATTATTATTATTATTATATTATTATTATTATTATTATTATTCTGATGAATATTTACCTAGTGGTAAGTTAAACTGAGCTGAATTCTATTGTAAATTGTTGTGATCTGCTGCAGGGTGGAGTGGCATTTTGTGCTTGCAAGGCAGCTAGAAACCAACCAACCAGGGCATCTAGGATTGTAGTTGTAGCCTCAAAATCCGAAAACAGAAGATTCTCCCTCTTTAGGATTATGCTAATTTACATAAATGATTGTGAATTTACATAAATAATTTATTTGTATACATTATAGTAAATATGTTTCATATAGCACTGTGAAGGTTAATAAGTACATTTATTTTCTTTCTGGTGTGATCCTATTCAGATGATACACTTGATTGCTATGCATGTCTGTCTGGAGAGCTACAGGATTTGTTGCTTTAATGTAAAATTGGAAAATGCACTGTAATAAAAATCAAAGCAAAAGTAATTGCTAACTTTTCAGAAGCTCAAATATTAGCTTCGATACTGGAATGCAAATAAATCTTTCAAGCATTTTTAGCTTGGTGCTGTTAAGTACAGTTCAATTTGTGGAAGAAATAACAGACAAAAGAGCCAGACTCCATCCACTCTCCATACCAAGCTGAAAGATAGCTAGGACTTGGATTTGTATTTAACTAAAATGAAAAGCTGATGACATAATTTGTTGCCAATGGTCGTTTTCTGTGAACTCACACTGTTAGTATACATACACATAATCCTTTTAAACTACATTTATTCTCTCTCTTATAGAAAGGATAGGATTGTTAAGTCCATTCAACATTTGATCCTGACTGACCTGGGTCCTGTGACTGTCTCCATGCTGAAAACCCTACGCACAAGTAAGGCAGCCTGCTTGAGGTTAACACCAATCACGCATTGGCTGGGAAGTGTCTGCAGTGCGCATCAAATAGGTGAGGGTCACTGTGCATGTTTCCACTTGCCCTTTTGTACATTCAGACCGAACATCTGAAGAGGGCTTTAAAGTTCTTAACCTCAGCAGGTCATGTAGATTTCAAAAGATTATAAATTTCTTACTGCTTTGAGAACACTTGCATTACTCTAAAAATAAGGCCTTTTATTTTAACGTTTGGTTTTATTTCCACATATTTTGAAAAAACGCCCTGCCATCTGCTACTTACTCATTCTGTTCTCTTGGTTGGGTTTTGCTAATTAGTGACCTTTAAATAAATTAGTTCTTTATTCATGAGAAGAGTCAAAACCATTCAAGATTTAATACAAAAGGCAGAGAAAGCAGACCAAGTTTAGATTCTTAAAACCAGTGCTTTTCTTCTGGGGGTACGCATACCCCTAAATATTTTGTGAATCTTTGTACTTTTGTCCATTTACTGTTCCCCCCCCCAATTTGAACTATAAAATGGTGATTTTCTTGAGTCAAAATGAGAGTACCCCTAAACATTTTCTTTTTTTTAGAAAAAAAGCACTGCTTAAAATTGCCAGTTGGGTTCTCACTTCTGAGCTGTCCTCACATGCCAGTCCACAAAATGGCTTATATTCCTCTCAGACCAGTAGGAGGCACGCATCTAGGAAGCATTGTGGTATACCTAGAAGCAGCATCCATTTATTTTTTCTTACGTAATCTCTCTCTTACTCAAGTGAAACCCAGCTTGCAGTGTGGCACCCAATACAATATAGACAATGTTATTAGCTATTCAAGAGCAACACCAGAGTAGAGTAGTTCACAAGGAGATAGCTCTCAACCACATTTGGGACAGCAACATTTTTAATACATGTTTTACATAATGTAAAAAATAGTGTTACATATTCTTATGCTATGCCACCTCACAGTCAGTTACAGTTACTGAACACACATGTTCAGTTCTGAATAAAAATGGTTTTAATAAATCATTATTATTGGAAATGGGTGGCAATAGCAGCAATCAAGAAAAGTGATAAATTACTATACCGGTGAACTCCACTATTGCACATGATGATATGGCAAGCTCCAAGTCTGCTACACAGTTCTGAAGAGACTGACAGCAGTCCAACTCCTGAGGCACTGCATGCTGTGTAAGCACAGGATGCTGTGCGCTTGGATCTTATGAATGACACCATCAGTCGGTAAAGTTCATCCAGAGAATTGATGGGCCGCATCAGCTGCAAGTAAGTGACAATGCTGCTGTCATGAACATATACTCACTGCCTCAAGAAGAAAGTAATGAATTCTAAGTTCATCAAAAACCAAACTGTAATTTCTCTTAATGACATGAGAATAAATAAATTCAGAGCATAGGTACCATGGCATCCTGAAGACAGCCTATTTGTCATTCATGTAGAAGATAAGTAACTTTAGGTCCCATCACAGTGGTACCTTGGTTGTTGAATGTAATCTGTTCCAGAAGACCATTCAACTTCCAAAATGTTCGACAACCAAACTGAGGCGCAAAGGGAGAATTTCAATTTCAATTGTGAAAATTGAAAAACATGCAGCAGAAGCCATTTGACTTCCAAGGTGCGTTCGAAAACTGAAGCAATTACTTCCGGGTTTTGGGCATTCAAAAACCAAAACGTTCAGCTTCCGAGACACTCGAAAACCGAGGTACCACTGTACTAGGACAAAGACAGGCAAAGTTGTAGCTGGCCCTTTTAGCAATTATGTAACAAAAGATCACAGCTTTTGTTCTTTAATTAGGCAATTAAAGGAAATTAACAGTGGAAACTTTTTAAACAGGCAGATTACACTTTCTAGTGAGACAAAGAAAGGAAATGGAACTAATGAATTGTCATACTTACAATAGAGATTCCCCCCCCCCCGAAAACTCTTTCTTATATTCACATTCTCAAGGGTTGTAGCTCCTAAGAGCTCTACTGATTTCTGCTGCTAACAGATTCTGGAGAGCTGGAAAAAAGATTCACATCTGACAATCAATGCACCCCTTTGGTTTCAGATAGTACATGGTAGACAAGTCTAGAAAGCCTGGGACACAAATTTTCACGGTCCTCCAACAACTGTGATGGCTCATTTACCAGAAGTAATGTAATTAGCATTAACTCTGGAGGTGTATATTCGATTCTGGCCAAACTAAGCCTCCTAGAGCCTTTGTGTCCCAGGCTTTTTAGACTTATCTACCATGTACTATCTGAAAACAAAGGTGTGTGTTGGTTGCCAGACGTGAAATATATTAGCATTATTTTCAGCTCTTCTACCCCACTACTTCTGCCCTTTCTATTCCATTTCTGATGCTTGTGCCTCCTGTTTTATGCTTTAAGGTTCATACAAATGCACCTGCCCAAAATAGCCACTTATAAAGGTGTCATTGTTAAGTTGTGGGTGAACATATCAGACGACACAGCGATTCTTCAAACAGCTCTTGTTTATTCACAGGCCAGAACAGAACTGAACTGAAGGGTTCAGTCAGCCTGCTTATATAGAGCTCCAGTACAGGTACAATGTAACTGTAACAATTTTCTAAAACTATCCAATCACTGAACGTCACTTTCGATCCCTTATTTGCATAACTATCTACAGTATCCCCCTGCTAGCCCAGGGTGAGAACTTCAGTACATAACAGTCATCTTATTAGCTTACATAAGTAAGTTTACACTCTGCCTCCATGACTGGAAGCTGTGTACTTTTGAATACCAGTTGCTGGAAATTGCAGGAGGGGATGTTGCTTGCAGGCTTCCTGTAGGTATCTGGTTGGCCACTGTGAGAACAGGATACTGGACTAAATGGGCCATTGGCCTGAACCAGCAGGCTTTTCTTAGGTTCTTAAGTCAGCCATTCTATGTATAAACATGGGCACATGTTTCTCTACAGAGAAAACAAATATGGCAGCAGCAGCAGCAGCACTGGAAGGTATGGTATAGTTGAGTGAGCTCTGCATTGTGAGTAACCTAAATCTCTGAAACACAAGAAACTTCCCTGATAAGGACCCTAAGGAGTAGGTTCCCCTCCTTCACATGATTAATCCAGTTTTTAATCTTAGTATGTCTCAAGAAATACAATGTTTTCCTTGTGGACAATATGCATTGCACTATTGCTCTTAAGGAATACCTAATTCGGATGATGAAACAGTTTAATTAACACATTCTTATTTCGTTTACCTTATCTATATAAGCAGCTTTAGATGTTGAATTAGGTGGAAGATTTGACTTGTCCAGGTAAAATGCCCTGGAAAAAAATAAACATCTACAATGGGTTAATTGTTCAAGAGCTTTTATAATGTACTTTTAAAGCAAAGACCTTTAGCCTCTTTGTGGCATTTTTAAAGCATTCACAACACAAAGAACCATCATGCAAATTAGTGATGGGCAAATGTTAATTTAATGCTACCCTCCCCTTGAAACCTATTGTGAAAAATATTAATAATTTTGAGGCAAGCTGTCCTGAAAATTAAATGTACCCCACCATATGGTGCAAGCCAAAGCTTTCATTAATATAAAATATGCTAACCCTTGGAAACAGACTTAGTTAAAAGTTGTAGAATGAGAAAATCTTAGTTTGCATTACAAAAGCAATTCTTTAGAATATATGACCTTCACAGGGTCATGTTTACAGCAGCTTGCATACAATCTACTGCAATTAGTAAGAGTCTGGAAAAGTAGATCATGAATGGCTATGGGTAGTTCAGGACCCAAGTTCAAATACTTTACTTTCAGCTGAACAAATGAAGAGCACTTTTTTTGTTTGATAGGTCTTGATTTTATGGTCTACAAAATAACCATGAAGGAATCAGTCAACACCAAGCATAGCACCCAGGGAGCTATGCAGATTCTGGGGTGTGCTATCTCCTTCCTTCCATGCTTATGAGAAGAAAAGGATTTGAACCCTGCCTGTGTGGGTGCCTGCGGACTAGCTCTAGCACAGTAATTGCTAGCATGCTTCACTAGCTGGTTGAGTTGGGGTGGGAGGATATTGTGGTGTCATGTTGCAATTTCTCTGTGCAGTGATGCCAGGGCTGTGATTATGTTCTTTCCCCTGTGTCACAAGTCCTTTAGTTATTTCCATATATTGAGTATATTAGTGGTAGCACAGCCCACAAGCTGCCACTGGTGGTGTTCCATTGGACACCACTCGTGTTTGTCATTTTTTATTTTATTTTTACACTCTTTTGGTATTTTTAAAGAATGTGTTGTCCCCGTCTCTTCCTGGGCTGAGCATGCATTGTATTTGGCAGCCATTTTACCAGCAAAGCAGAAACATTTATCTGTTTCCTGTGTAATACAAATATAGGACAGTTCAGCCCTCACACGAGATAGGTTTTCAGAGTGTAACTTATGTGAACATGAAATAATTAATACTACTAAGTATTATTATTATTTATTAAATTTGTATACCACCTTTTATCCAAAGATCTCAGGGTGGTTCAAACCATAAAAATACAAAATAAAAGTGAAATGCATAACAAAAACAAAACAAACCCATAACCTGCCCTCCTACAAACACGTTTAAAATGTTAATCAGCCCAAGGCCTGGTTGAAGAGGAATGTTTTCATCTGGCACCTAAAGTAGCTGACACTTGTAGAAAAATTGAAAGTGCTACACTTGTATAGCTTTGTACAATATGATCTTCTGTATTTCTGAGAACACGGTGAGCTGAGGACAGCATACAAATTTCCAAAGTACTTCACTTAATTACTAAATGCCTGTTTAGGACCTTAATCAAATGTTACGAGGAAAGCTAATGGAAAACTTGGAGTAATGCCCAAAGCGAGGCAGTATTTTCTAATCTGCCTAGAGTGACAAGTGTGAAATCATAATACTTACTCCATGGATAAGCAAACTAAGGGCCAGGGACTGGATGTGGCCCAGCCTGCGGATGGTTCAGAATCAGCGTGTTTTACTTGAGTAGAATATGTCCTTTTATTTAAAATGCATCTCTGGGTTATTTGTGGGGCATAGGAATTTGTTCATAGCTTTTTAAAAAATATATATAGTCCGGCCCCCCACAAGGTCTGAGGGACAGTGGATCAGCCCCCTGCTGAAAAAGTTTGCTGACCCCTGACTTACTCAATGTGCAGAAAATATTAGCTTTGCGATTCTGAAAATGTGGGAGAATTTTTTTTAAAAGGTAGAAATTATATAGGAGTAAGACCCATTTCAGTCTGAATGAGAATTACTAAAATTTTGTTTGCAACTCTAACTCTTTTTTTATATTTCACTATAGTACTCCATTGATCATATATGTTTACACAGAATCGTAGACTTCTTGAATCATGAAATATTAAATTTGTGATGTTATTTGGAAGCAACATGTTTATTGTGTATTCTGAATTGTAAAACACAAATTTAAGCTGGCTATTGTTAGAATTATCATTGGTGTAGTTGTCATACTGTACCCCTGCTTAACTCTGAAAAGGGAAGAAAAGGGGAAAAGTACTTATAGAGGATAAAATACGTATTTGTCCTCACAAAGAAGATGGAGTTACTAAGTGAGCTTTCTCAGTATCTCTACTGTTCATATAATAAAAAGGGTTTGGGAAATCCCCGGAACAGGGAGAAGTCCTATTGTACAGGCAGAAGCCCTTTGCCAACCAGATGATTTTGGTAGATATAGCCCAACCTTTTCACCTGTGTTGTTGCAATCAACATTTCATTTGCTTCTAAAATTCTATTAAAATATAAGAGACAGGAAGAAATTTTCAATAAGAAAAATACATGGCAGACAGATGATCTCCATAATTATTTATTTTGTAGTATGATTGGGAAATGCTGTTTTAGACTTCTAAACTTTATTTTTCTTACACAACGAAGACTTCCTTGTAAGAAATAAAAGAGGGCAAAATTCCATTTAAAATATATATTTGAATAAATGCAAATGCCTATTAAGCAAATCAGGTTTGCTTTCAGCTGAAAGGCATATTTTTCATAAATTTGAAATAGTAATTAACTATTCCTGGTTGAAAGCAATTCATTTATCAATTTTGCTCTAGTGCACAACTGGAGAATTCAAATTGTCAAAAGAGGCATGTGGATAGGGAGCTATTAGCAGAAGATTTGTTTTCTGTAAATGAGTTCACACAAAATATTCTTCAAATGGATTGCATCTTATGCTTGGGAAGGACCACATTTGTTTCCACAGAAGAATGGAGAACACTGGCCACGGGGAACCTTTTTTCACTATTTTTTAAACAGCTTGTATAAGATATAGTTCTGAATATACTACCCAAATTACATGGTAGTTACTCAGGCACATTCCAAGTTTGGAGGCCCTGGGTAGATTGCAGACAGGTCAGCCTACAATAATGTAGCTGCATATGATGTCCCTAAACTTCTCACTCACATTAATTCTGCTGCTCCTGGTATGTGCATAAGTAAGGCAGTGACACCAGGCAGTTTGGGCATGCAACCCAGTGCTCCAATCAGTTCTGCTGCTGCGGTCCCCACACAAGTGCCCTTGTAATAGCCAGGCTCTCCTGTGGTGAGTATTGGAGGAGCTGAAAACAGGGCTGCCACAATTAAGATGGTAGGGCTGGAAAGTATTGGCATGCAGCCTTTAGCTCCAACTAGCACTGCCCTGCAAGTTCTTGCTGGCTGCCATGGCCGTGGTAAAGAGGATGGGCCAATATGGCGCATGCTGGAGCCAGGCCCACTTAGATTCCAGAAGAGAAAAGAGAAAATCAGATGTAAAGAGCAAGAGATATGAAAAAAATAAAATTTTATTTCGTTTTAGAATTGATTTATGGTAATGCATTACTACTCTATTTGATTTCTTCCTTTCACCTAATTTTCCAAGATTATGAAGAGATTAACTGATTTAATCAAAAGCTCCTGTAATTATACTATGTTTATAATGCTATGCCTAAATTTTTGCTAATGTATCACTAAGTTCCCCATAGCTCTTAATAACTGCTGAGCTTTCATATATGCCGCAATAAAGGTGTTTAAAAATCTTTGCTGACTTAATTACTTTCTCCCTTTTGAGCAGCATCTTCCCATCAGCAAAACATAAGGTCAGGGTAAATTTACACCATTAACCTCTCCCCCAACTTGAAAACAGAAAATCAGCATACCATTTTTCTTGCGAAAAATGCCAAGGAAACAGAACTAGTAAAGTCTAATTATAAAACACAACAGCAATCTGGCTGAAAGTTTGAGAAGAATATATAGAGCCATTAAAATGAGACTAGGGCAGATGCTAAAAGATTTATCTGCACCTTTCTAAATTCTCAAGGTAAGTAGTTTCCTGACTATTACCATGCCTTTGCTGATTGCAGCACCCTGGTTTTTCACCTAGTACACAGTGTGTTCCTTATAGGCTACCATGTATATGTTGAAATCTGGAGCAAATGGGAAGTGAGGAATTTCACAGCAGACTGGCTTTTATTGTCTCTTCAGAAGCAGCATGGTGTGCATTGGAATGGAATTAGGTCAGTTGGGTTTGGAAGAATGTCCCATCTTGCAGATGCTTAAACCTGCAGCCTAGTTAACTTTGTCTTGTCTCCTGTTTTCCTTCAAAACATTTGGCAAACTACGTGTATCAGTTTATATTAAAATTATAGAGGATCATAATGTTTATGAAGCTTGAAATGAACATCAGGTATGTGTGCTTCTCCCTTCCCTTGCCCCACCTCTCCAATCTTCCTGTGCTGGCTCCAGCAAGGAAATCCTGGTGGTGTTCTAACTATTCTAACTAATAGGTGTTCCCTATTATGCCCAAAATGGGGAACCCTGGTTTAATATTTCAGCAATTTCTTACCTGCCCTTCACCACAAGATCCCAGTGGTGGTTGCAACCATATAATCATACAATATTAAAATATAACAAAACAATTTAAAACAAACCAGAGAATGTACATCAGACAACAGGCATGGTCTCTTAACCAGGATATTAGGATATGAACTGATTCAGTACAAGAGGGGAATGTACATGTAGGCCTGGTGCTCATTCCCTTTGTAAACTACAGTTTATTTATGAAGTTGGAGCATTACATCCAAACCCTCTTTCTGCATATGAGAGTACAAACGCTTGCAAGAAACGCTACAGAATGTTAAGAACTGTTTTTAATAAATGAATTAGTCAAACTAGTTGCATTTAAGATAACGATGTTGCTGCTGCTATTTATACAGGGCCATCAGTATGCATAGTGCTTTCCAGAGACTAGAGAACAGTTCCCTACTATGAAGAATTTCCAGTCTAAAATTTGCAAAGCAGAGGAAGGGGTGGCAATACTGCCATACTGACTTAAATTTAGGTATTCCTACCTGAACTAATTTGTAGGTCAGGTTGATACCAATGCATATTAATAATAGTTTGCAATCCTAAAAGATGCTTATGCTTAGAGAGCCACTAAATAGGACTTCACTTGCCCTTTACTTGTTTCAAGAGTGTGACTCCTATTTGAGTTCTTGGATAAGACACATATAGATAAGCAATTACCTTACCTGAGTTTTTGGTTATACTGTTTCACTTTTTCCAATGAAGCTGCATTAATCTGGGCTTGAAATTCTTCTACTGATACATTGTCCCTGTAATAATAGCCTTCCATGCTTTCTAGGGCTACAAAAGAAAATTAATATAATTATCTATATGATTCTTTTCCGATTAAAATATGTCTAAGATATGCTGAAGCCCCCTGAATGGATCCATTTGATCTGGAACCCTGCACAGTCAGGATCTCATATCATGGGAGCTGCCTATGTGTGTTTGGCAGACTCTGCAGACATATATGCAGCCTCCTATAGATGGGTGGCTGTGGAATGAATTCTGAGAGTGCAGCAATAGGTTCAGTGCCATAGTCCCACTCTCTCTTTCATATGATTTCTAATTTCTGTACTGTTTCTGTCACTGCAATTAGAAAGAACCATTTCAATTTATTCTTCAAGTATTGGCAATGCTTCTTACACATCCAGCTAGGTATGCATAGGATTGCAGCCTTAATCTTTATTCATTGCTGAGTCTTTACCTACTCATTTAACAAGAACTTATGCAAATCTAAAGCTGATAAAATTAGAATTTAATAGGTGAGTAATCTCATTATTACATTGAAATTGGAACACGGTAACTGACATTTGAGGGAAGGAGCATATTAATAAAAGATTTTGCAATTAGGAATTGCACCACTTTGATATTATAAAATTTTGAGGACTTGACCCTCTAGGGAACAACTTGAAAATGTTCCCAATAAACACAATTTTGTTGAAAACAGCATGTGGGTTCACAGCCTTAACTGTATACTGAATATTAATTCTGCTAAAAGTTCGTTAAATGGCCAGTTAATAAATAATTCATTTATTGCCCAACCGCTTGCATGCTGTAAAAGTCCTTAGCTTTCTTCCTTTACAAAATATAGTTAATGCTGTTGGTCAAATTATATACCCTTATCCTTGCATTAGAGTCATAACTAGTAAATGGGACCGTACAACCTACAAAGACAGAGGTGCTTATTCAATAATCCTGGTACAGGGGTCAGTTTAAAGGCATTTTCTTTTTCCATTTCAGCAAGAGTAGAAAATGACTGCATATTAATGACTCCAAATCTAAATCCAACTCTAGTCATAGTTAAACTCTAGACAAGAATGCACATCTTCACATGCATTCATCTAGTTCAATGAGGTCCAGATATTTATTGCAATGTATATCATATAATTATAGAATTGTACGTCTCTACCAGAGAAGAATGGCAAACCAAACTGATGGACTAAGCCGAGACGGGAAAGCTGACTGGAAAACTCAGAAACAAAGAGGATAAAAACTTTATAAATGAATGGAAACAATTATAAGTTACTTAGGAGACCACTGTAAACAGATGGAAACAAGAGCAGGATTTTGATTCACTTGTAGTGTAAAAATCACTATGGGCAGTATGGTTTGCTATAAAAATTGGAGTACGGATGAATATGCAGTTGTAGATGTTTAAAATGAGACCCTATGGAGGGGATGGGAGGGAAGGCTTGAGATTCGGAGAATCTCTTTATACTGATATGTTTTTATAGTTTATGTTTATTTGTACTTTGTATCTGTAAAACCAATAAAAATGATTTCATAAAAAATAATAAAATAATAATAATTATAGAATTGTAGAGTTGGATGAGGCCACAACGGTCATCTAGTCCAACCCCTGTACAATGCAGGAATCTTTCACCCAACATAGGTCTTGAACCCATAGCCCTGAGATTAGGAGTCCCATACTCTTTTAGATGAACTAATCCCAGCAGATAGGAGAATCTGCATCCAATATTGGATGTTCATCCACACCAAATACTGGGTATTGAGTTTTGTTTGTTTGCGGGGGGTTTTGCAGTCTGTATATATATGACAAGTTCAAACTTTCAAGGCAGTGTCCAAATAACTGGAAGTGAAGAACAACAACAACAAAAATTAACATTAAAACTTGCCTCAGGTTGTAGTCGCACACAATGTGTGCGATTAGCATCGCACAAAAATAACATGACTTCCTACAGAATGCTTGAGAAGACTGCCAGCATACCTTGTGCAAAGAGGACGGGGTAAATTTTAAATCCTCCACCATTCTTCAGTCTTTGAGGAAGCTGTTCAAAATTGTAACTATTAAGATAAAAGTAAACTTTCAAGGCTTGCCGGCTTCCTTCTGCTTGATATGTGATTGGAATATCTAAAGAAGAAAAGAAAAATGTTACAGTTTTATCAAATGCTAACACCCGTTCAGCATTTTTGCTACAAAAAACTTCAAATACTGTAAGAAAACATTAACTGAGCCAACATGTCTCATGCTAGAGAAGTGGGAAAGGAGCTGTGTGTGAGAGAAGAAAGCCAGGGTTGTATGGCAGCTAAATGTTGGACTAGATATGGGGTTCAAATCCCCTCTTGCCATGAAGCTCACTAGATGGCCCTGAACCAGTCACTATCTCTTAGCCTAACCTACTTCACAAGATTGGTTTACGGATGATATGGGGGTGGGGAGTACCATGTACACTGCCTTGAGCTCATTGCTCACACACACCTAGCTCCTAGCCCTTTTTCAGATTCCCTTCAGGCCCTGGGCCCAGGGACTTGGGCCTCCAGCACACACATACACCTCATTGGGCTGCCAATAGTTATCATAATTAGCATTTACATCGGTGCACACATGACATTGCACCATTGTTAAGTTAAAGGAAGGAAAAGGGCGGGGGATCGCCTATAATAGGAAAGTTGGGTAATTTCGGTAGTATGTGAAAGCCACAATTTCCATTCACCTAACAATGTTTAGAAAGTTGGGACTTGGGCATCTGCACTGGGATTTAAGACTAAAATTATATTCATTCCAAAGCTATATAAAACACCCAACCATTCCATATGCAGGTGATATGATACAAGTTAGAAAAGATAAAGCTTCTATGCATTTATACCATACTATATTTTGAAGTAGCAATGGAAGGACGAACATTTATTGTATAATACTCACTTGCAACTAGAGGCTCTTGTTCAGATTGCTTAAAAGAAAATGTAACTTTCTCCAAGTCAAACAGTGCAACCAATGTGTCTTCTAGCATAGCTTGTTCATCAGCCTGAAATATATATATATGAGTCTATTAAAGATACTAGATTGATGTATATCATTATTAACATTAACTGCAGGTGGTCACATCCTGTTTCAGTAGTTAACCCAATTAACTCACGAGTGCATGAAGACTGATGTATTTCTATTGAATTTGCACTCCATCATCTGCTGTCAAAAGATTACTGTTAGCAAGGATGATATATAGCAGGTTAATTTACCATTTGCTATGTTGGTTGTGGACTTTAATCTTATCAAATTGTAATTGTGTTTCATGCAAATGAGTAAGCTCAGAAATTCTATACAGCAAGATTTTTGTGTTACAATATTTAATACTTTTAAAATGCAACTCTGTGTATTATTGTGGCTTATAAAATAAATTGTAATTTTCTCAGTGCAGTTTATTGAACAAGGGGAGCATTCCTCCAGAACTTTGCCAGAAGGTAAAACTTACAGTAGCTATAACAGAAGTCAAATAATCTGATTCTGAGTAATTATATTTTCTGATACCTTCCCTAGCTTATCAGCATGTTGATTAGAAAAATATAAATTTGCTTTATATCCAGCTTCTTATTGAAGCCAGAAGCGTTAAATAAAATCACCAGAAGAACAGAGATATTTTATCCTTGATACATGTAATATATACACAGACATTTGTAGCTTCCTCAAATGTACATTTAAAAAATAAACAAACAAAAACCAAACACAAATTGATCACAATGCTTAAATAAGCACTGAGGCCCCTCAGGATGGTTGCTGTTTGACTGGGTTTGGCTCCAGGATTCCAGTGGAAACCAAATGTTATTAATGCAAATTAGGGGGGGGAATGTAGAGTATGCAAAACCTTTCCTTTGCCTATTGGTTCAATGTGTCAGCTTCCTAAAGAATACAGAGCCATTTGAATTAAATTTAGCACATAGTATATTTTTAGAAATGGTATAGGTTTTAGAAAATGCACTATGAGCTTCTGGACAGATGTTAATTCCAGATGCCGTTGGACAGGACTATAAGAACATTACACAGAATGGCGCAGCTGCGCATAGGAACTCTCACCAGATTTGGCGACAACAGTGACTGGAAGTGAAGGAGGACACCGGCACTGGATATCTGTTCCAACCATCTTCTGCTGGCCTCTTGTGTCTCCATTTCACACTCTTTGTTATTGTCAAACATCTGATTTAAGGCAGCCATTAACTGTTCTGAAAAAGCACAAACTGTGGCCACCAGACTTTGGCAAAAGACCATGTCTCGCCTGAGCTGTATCTTACTATCTGTGAAGGGCACAACGAAGGGGAAAAATACCCGGTAAATAAGGAGAAATAAATAGACTATAAAGAAAATGCACAATGAATTGTGTCTCTCCTGCAAGAAGCAGTGCCATTATTTTCTTGGGCAAAATGTGACATTATATACAGTAGCAGCTGTCATATGTGATAGCACAATGTCGTATGTAAGCATCCCTTCACAATCTTTGTAGATTACAGCAATAGTTTTGACTCTAAACAATAAATTATTTAGTTATCAAATGCCACTGCATCGCTTGGCACTGGCGACTATATTAGGATTCAGAAGCAGAGCAAGTAAGTCAACTATAGTTCACATTGGTGCTTCTTTTCTACCAACTTTCATTAAAAATTACCAAATAAGTTGGGTGCCATATGTTTTCAGTCTATAGATTGGTCCCTGATAATTCATCACTATGTTCTGTCCTGTATAGGCCTGCATATCTCAGCCTCCCGCAACCCCTGCTTTTTTAAAAAAAGATGTGTTTTAGTGTATCTAGGAGTTTTCCTTACTCTTCTTGGTCCTAATTTCACTTGTTGAATTTTGCACTAGCTCCCCCATTTCTAAGTATCACCCTTTATCAGACGACTGATACTTCTTCATGCTCTTCATCAGTTAGGAAAGGGGGAAATCACATTTAATATATTCACTTCACTTAATATGGACCACTCAATTTCTATGCTCCATTTTCTTCTATCTTTATGAGTGCCCTTTGAGCTCATGAAAATATAACAAATATTCTTGGGGAGACTCAGCCAACTGCTTTGAATAGAAATACTGAAATGGATTCATTAAAATTACCTGTATATTCAAGGAGTGCCAAGAGGGCCCTTGCTTTCACCTCTGGGGAAGAAAAGGACAGAAACTTAAGCCAAAATTCTGTTTTGGACTCAGATTTGACCACACTTTGCCCATCTTTCTATTGATTTTTTCCAATCTTCTAATTATACATACAATATCATGCTTGTTGTATTCATTTTCCAAATTAAATAATAAAATAGCAATATATGCTGAACAGGTTAGTGGACCACTGAATTTCTAGTAAGCTTTGAATATGCAAATTTGTAGCTATATGAATATGGGAATTCATATTCTGCTGTACAATCCAACCTATGACTACTCAAAAATAAGCCACATTCAGTTCCACGGCAAGTTAAGTGTGCATACAATTATCGCCTGGTTCAACAGTTTTAGAAGTTGGTATTTGTTTCTTTCAATCATTTCTTAGAAGCTAAAACATAAAGAGTAAAAAAAGGGGGGTAAATCTTAATATTAGTTTTTTAATTAACTAACTATATTGATTTCTAGGAATTCTGTTCTATACAGCAATTGATGCATTTGCAGTGTTGACTATGTCGTGTTGAACTGATTCCTGTTCTCATCCCAAACTAATGCCTAAAGATTACCACTGAAGCTAGAATTCTGCTAGAATTTGCATTTGGCTCACTAAGTATATCTAATTAGGATCCCTTAAAAAAAGAAAAGGGACTCTCATATCCAAGTCAGTTTTCCAAATGTACCCTTTTTCTTTATTCCTCAATCTGTCACTCTGTGCTGATTTTTGTTTCTTCCCAGGTCTGCACTTACTGGTTCCAGCCTCTCTCACTCCTAGATTCATGAATGTCAACTTACTGGTTCCAGGTTCTATGCTTATTTATTAGAAAATTATGCTGCTTTATATAATAAAAATTCCTAAGCAGTTTACATAAAAACAAGAAAAACACAAGAATAACCATCAATAACATTCCCTAAAGATAAAAACAAAACAAAAAGTATGCATCGCATAAAACTGAGCAATGTACAAAACAGAATAGAAAATGTAAGAGTACACAAAATATATAGTTTAAAGAGGGATTAAAAAGTTATTAATGTTTCTGCCTCACAAATTACCCAAGGGAGTACATTCCAGAATGTGGACGCTACCACTGAAAAGGCCTGCTTCTGCATTGTTAAGAAGTGATAAATTGGTTGGAAGATCTTAAAAAGCTCAGCTTGATCTATATAGAGGAAAGCCGACTGCGGTCCCAAGTTTAGAACTTTACATACCAACAAAACCTTAAAATTGCTCTCTTGCAGCTACAGCTTCCAAGCGAGACTCAAGAGTAGTCAGGTTGCCAATGTATGGACAGCCAAATTATCCCTGTCAATGCATGGTCATCATTGGAAGAAAAGCTGGTAAGGTGTATTCTGATCCACGGAGGTCACCCAGACTGAGTCAGTGATGGATCTAGGAACACCCCAAAACTATACATCTGCTCCTATGAGCTATAACCCCATCGAGAGCAGGTGTGCACCCCAACTGTGAGACTTGGGAATTGCCCATCCATTGGGTGTCCCATCAGGATTCAGTTGCAGCTTTTTAGCAATCCTCCTGCCCATGGCTGCATCAAGGCACTGTTTTGGGACATCCATGGCCTCTCTTGATTCAAATGTTAAATAGAAATGCTGGGTGTCATCAGCATATTCGTGACACCTTGCCTCAAATTAAGTATGATTCAAAACACTATCCTTCTGCCATCACAATCAGCAGAACTTCTCATTAATACCTAGCTAATTTCAGTGACAAAGGGACGCGGGTGGCGCTGTGGGTAAAAGCCTCAGCGCCTAGGGCTTGCCGATCGAAAGGTCGGCGGTTCGAATCCCCGCGGCGGGGTGCGCTCCCGTTGTTCGGTCCCAGCGCCTGCCAACCTAGCAGTTCGAAAGCACTCCCGGGTGCAAGTAGATAAATAGGGACCGCTTACTAGCGGGAAGGTAAACGGCGTTTCCGTGTGCTGCGCTGGCTCGCCAGAGCAGCGATGTCATGCTGGCCACGTGACCCGGGAAGTGTCTCCGGACATCGCTGGCCCCCAGCCTCTTGAGTGAGATGGCGCACAACCCTAGAGTCTGTCAAGTACTGGCCCGTACGGGCGGGGGTTACCCTTACACTCTTAACCTTAACTTTCAGTGAACCCCAAATGGCAACTGCCCCAAATGCATACTGAAATGCACACCAGGCAGCTGAATTTAAATCCATCCTTCATCTGTCCCTGGTCACATTACCAGACTTTTTAAAAATTCATCTGCTGGCCTTGAATATTATTCACATTGAAATTAAACATTTTCACCTACAGTCACCTTTCCTAAGGGAAACTAAGGTAAGCCTCTGGTCCGTCATTTTTTGTAGGACAGCATTTTGTTGTTTATTTCTAATAATCTCCGTTCCATCTAAGTGAACAACCCAAGTAAATCTTAGAAAATTCATGCATATGAATAAGAATGAATTTTCTAATTTTTATCCTCATTATTCACTCCTAAAATCAATTGAAGAGAAGTGAATATTTTAATATTACATCTATGTTTAATCACCAATCATCATTTAATTTGGTATTCTGCATACACACTAAAAAGAACAATGACCAAAAGCCCAACAGCCCCTGATTTTCATCATAGATTACTTTAGTAAACTTCCATAACAAATCAGCAAACTTTCAATCACAGCATACTTGGTTCACCAAAATGAGTTTAGATGCGAGTCAAAAGAGATTTTCCGGTCTCTGTTTGGGTATTTGCAAATTCTAGATGCAGCTCAGAAGACATTAAGTATCTTCAAATTTAAGTTAAAATACTGATAACAGATTATCCTTACAATGCGCAGAAAGATGTAGGAATTTGGACATGTTAGCAAACTATGCTGAGACTTTTCCTTTATCCACAAAGTGACTGCAGACAGGATGGGGTGAACTAGCAAGAGAAAACCTATAACCAAGAAGACCTTGTGGAGCCTACTGCTACAGCTCAAGTACAAGATATTACTGATGGCTTCTCCAGAGTAGTCCTACCTACTAGTTCCTTGCAGTCACCAGGCAGGATGACTGGAGAAGCTGATATCATAGCTCAAGAATTCTCCACATTGCATCAAAGGAGGCAATGATGACTCCAATTTCTGAACACAGGTCTAGGGTCTCCCATTAGCAACATTAGTCTCCATTGACTCGGCTAGTCAGACTACTGGTATTGTTTTGGAATATACATTATTCCTCGAAAGATTCTATAAATCTCACAAGCTCTATCTCAGAAGTATGACAAAACTACCTCTGATAAATGAGTTACCTTCAACAAGTTTTCTGATGTTTTGGGAAAGGTTTTGGACACTGCTAGGGAGATTCCAGGGGTCTTGTTTGATGTGAAGTCTCAATCTCTTTGGGCAGCTGAGTTTAGGTCCAATCTCTTGCTGAAACTCTGTTCAAAAGCAAAATTACTTCTTTAATTTGTTATAATTTAATTTTGCTCCATAAGTTTAGTGAACTTAAATATTGAAGGTGAGCCTTCAGATTCATTTCCTTGAGTAAAGACTTTAACATTTTCATTCAACACCAGCACTAATTTAATTGGGCATAAATAGAATGCAACACTTCATAATATATTTTCCAGATAACAACTATGATAACCAACACATTTTAGAAATACTGTTCAGTAAAAAAATAGGTTTGACTCCTCATAAAAACATAAGGCTTGCAAATAAGTCCAAATAAGTTAATAGGCCACCTGTTCTGACACTCCTATGTAACTTCCAGACACAGCAATCAAACCATAATATTAACCAACAAGATATGAAATGGGTCATATGTGCACTCCATATCTCATGAACTATTTATCTCCAAATGAAAACTGAAAATCATATTTTGAACTCTGTTGCTAATTCTGACTGGGGACAAATTAAGGTTTACACAAGCCAGAATTTTATTTGTAGGCTTATTTGTTTAACTATTAATATTTATAGCCTGCTCTTCAGTCCTGAGTCTTTCAGAATGGCTTACAATGTAAATGTATAAAACACAATAATAAATAATATCATTCATAATTTTAAAAGATCAATGTGAACACAATCTCAATAAAACAATTAAAACTCCAGTTCTAAAAGATTACTAATTGACAGTTATTACATTGTTTAAGATGTTGTATAAAAATGGTTGGATAAATAAAAGCATTGCCATGTGAGCGTTCTTGGCGAGAGCATTCAAAAACAGGGAAGGGCCTCTCCCTAGTTATCATTCAAAAACAGGGAAGGGCCTCTCCCTAGTTATCACCCTCCTAACTTCAGAAGGTAGCAGAACACAGAGCACAGTCTCAGAGAACTATCTTGAAATTCAGGCTGTTTCATGTGACAGAATAGAACCCTTTCATATTATTTCATATTTAAAAAAATCTTTTTTTTTAACTCCAGTGCTAGATTAACAGGTGTATCTATCTTCTGTTTCTGTTTGAAACCCCATTGACTGCCATACTTGGGTTTGAATATTACCTTGCAAGCTTCGACCTGGTGTGAAGAACTTTGTTTGCTCAAAGGCTCTTGCCACTGCTGGTCCTTTCAGTAGATTGATAATTGAATCTACCTGTAGAGTTGAAAAGCAATTGAATGGTGAAAATAGCTTTTTGTAAAGTTTATGTTGGATCCATCGAGACAAACACAAAAGGTAGGCACATGTTTTCCCTTTGGGACAAATAGAAGCTTTGGCGTAAGATCAGGAATATGAATATGGAAAGGGAGAAATGCCTCTCTGCCAATGCTACAGTTGTAATCTGATCCCATACTCCATGATTGCTTTTAACTTTAAAGAAATGCACAGGGGCCAGGGGCTGGTGTTAGGTTTCCTGGGGACATGTACTAAGTCAGACCACATTGGTCCAACTAGCTGGACTGGCAGGGACCCTCTAGGATTTCAAGACTAAGGTCTTTTCCCAGCCCTACCTAGAGATGCTAGGGATTGAACCAAAGTCCTTTTGCATGCAAAGCAGGCTCATGCCTAAGAATACATTCTAAAGGTAAAGGGACCCCTGACTCTGGGGTTGCGGCGCTCATCTCGCTTTATCGGCCGAGGGAGCCGGCGTACAGCTTCCGGGTCATGTGGCCAGCATGACTAAGCCGCTTCTGGCAAACCAGAGCAGCGCACGGAAACGCCGTTTACCTTCCCGCCAGAGCAGTACCTATTCATCTATTTGCACTTCGTGCTTTCGAACCGCTAGGTTGGCAGGAGCAGGGACCGAGCAACGGGAGCTCACCCCATCGCGGGGATTCGAACCGCCGACCTTCTGATCGTCAAGCCCTAGGCTCTGTGGTTTAACCCACAGCACCACCCGCATCCCAAATACATTCTAGAGAAGAATAAATATCTAAGGCACAGCATTTGAAAGAACAATGCAAGCCAGAAAGGGAGGGGAAATTGCTTCAGATAATTTTCACAATGCATCCCTGTATAGTCTCATTTTATTAGAAGATAGCACTGTTTTTGCACCGCAAAAAAAATAAAAAATCGTAGTATCATAGATGGTAATAATTGAATACCTGACCAAAAAGATGTTCCAGACAACCATGGAGTTTGTCTTGCTTGTCATGAGAGATGCGTATACTTAAAGGAAGTTCATCACCTATTAAAACAATATTTGAAATTCTTATGAGCTTTTGAATTTAACAGACTGTACAAACCTTACACGTGGATCACTTTGTTGCACAGAAAAGGGGTCTAATATTGCTGCCATATGTGATGGCACTGCTTCTGCTTCCAGGACAGGGTATTCCAAAGGTGAAATGACCATCTCATTCCTTTTCCTACTACAGCTGCTTTCCTTTTAGCTTTCCTCACACTTTTTTTGATGCTCACTGCAGCCTATCTAATCCATTTCATTCCTCATCCCAGTTCTTGAAATGCCAGGGCTTTGTGGGGGAAGGTGGTAAAGCTTGCTGTTTCTCAATGTCTTTCACTTTTAACTAGTAATGACTGAGTATTTCAATTGCCTGGCAGAGGAAGCAAAGAGGAGTTGTTTGTTTGATTTAAGAAAGAAGAAGAAAAAAATCCTGAAATGGCAAAGCATTGCTGTCAGGTGTTAAAGTGTTGTCTGACTGTTCCATGTTTGAGTGTTGGAAATGTTGAGTTCTCAGCATCTAACTTTGTTTGAAGCACAGGGAATTGAGGTTGCCCTCATTACTGAATCAGGAGCTTTGCACTGACAACACTGGCCTTTGCTCTTTGTTCTCTGTTCCCAAGCCATTTGTGGTAGTGGTGAGGAGATTAAGATGATTCTTGCACCCAGCCTAATTTTCACATAAGTATTTTGCAAGATCAAAGGACAACACTTCTTACAGATTCACTTTATTTGCATCAGAAGCTGAAGCATCTGTAGAGCTAACTGAAGCATGCATTAAAGCAAAAGGAAGACAAACATTCCTTTCATCTACTTCAGAAGGCAAGTAGACAAACCCATCTAGTTAACAAATCTCATACAATTTCCTCTAGCAAAGTACATTTGGTGTGGGTGGGGGTATCAGAATTACCTGAATCCATTTCATCACTGTGAAAGAAGGAACTGCATTGGCTACTGGAAATACTGGTAAAAGATGCACTAGAATTTCTGTTGCTGTTGCAATCACTGAATAGGGAAAAGAAAACACACATTATAAATCCTCTTGGAACATTTATATTTAAACAGCAGCTTTTCCATCCTTTTATCTTTTTCTCTTGACCAAGCGCCTCTTTACAGTTCCTAACCTAAATTATCCAGACTGTACATTTTGTGAGCAAGAAAGCTCAACATTTTAAATTGAACAGAATAATACCAAAGGCCATGATCCAACAGAGGTTAAGCTAAGTGAGCTTCAGTCCTTTGAAATAAACAAATCAAATATCTGTTAATAAAGAAGATGCGTTATAGTGTTATAATTAAGTGTTATTTTAACCATACAAAGTTTTTTAAGTAACAGCAAAATGTTTGAATAGCTTTATATGCAGCAACAACTGAAGACATGATTCATTCATTATTCTCTTACCCTTGATGGAGGTAAGAGTTTACCTGTATGAATCCCGGTTGCTAATGGTGTCATGGCCAGAATCTTCCTGTTCATCAGCTGCTACACTGAAACAGACCTTTTTCCCATTTCGTTCTCCTTTTTCGCTATCACTGTCTGTTGGTGTTAATGGCTCGTGGTTTTTCCGTTCTGATTGTGGAGAGTATGTTATTGAAGAAAGGAGGCTGAAATGGGATAAATTCAGCTACTGTAAGTAAGGATTGTTTTTATTTTTAAATAACAGTGATGCTACAAATACAGTATGAAAACTAGCGTGTGCCAAAGTGGACATGGTACTGTCCTAAAATTCAGCAGAATTATAAGATATAAATAATAATAATCAGTATGGCTTAGCTCACACCGTATTGAATCAAGCACACCTAACTTAAGACAGTAAACCATTCTGTCCAAATCATTGTTAGGTTAGCCCATCTTATAGAAGCTTTGGGAGTAGGTAATTGTGTACCTGGATGAGCAGGTGAGGCTCCAGCAGATCTGCAGCTGAGTTAGGCGGTTCTTGGTTTAGCTGGGCTATGCCAGCTTGACTCCCTCATTCTCAGCTCAGCCAGAGAGCTGCCGGTGTATCTGCCCCATCACCACACAGCTGGCTGAACTGAGCCCAGCAGATCATAAGGTGGTGTAAACACTGAAAAAGTGGCCAGGGGCATAGTGTGGGTGGGACCAAGGGCAGGGGTATAGGCTGCTTTCGAAGCCTGTTCAATTTGGTCATGTGTCTTGGCAACCTGGCATAAATCAAGCTGACAGAAAGGGTGGTGTAACTCAGACACTATTCTAAAGGCTACTTTTCCCTCTGCCAGACTTAGGCAGCACTCGTCTCACTGCTGAATGGAAGTTGGATCTGGTGTGACTCTGTGCCAGCTTAATTTACATCATCTTGCTTTATGCCAGCTTCTTGTGCATAGGATTGTTTCCTTAATGTATCAATATAGAATCAGAGGACCAAGGTACAATAATCTCTAGGATAAACTAATTTTAGTAAATGTGGTTAGTATGATTATGTGAGAACAGAGACACAATCCAATGAGTATCCTTACAACCCAATGGGTGTGTGTGACTCAGCTGCTTAGCGACATACCACAAAAGGAAATTGTGTGTTCATAATAAATACAAACAGATGTTATTCTAAATTAAATCAAAGACATACAATTTTGCCATAATTTAGGGGCTTAGCAATATATACATTAAGGTGCACTGCTACATCTTTCCATCCAAGGTGATTAAACAATGCATGAAATCTAGAAACAAACTTATCAAACTCAAAAGCTGGAAGCATAAACAGCAGCACTCAAGCCTTCCAAGCACTCAGCTGCTACATTCAAATTTTACAATATTGGCATCAGTAGCAGGAAAGGAATGTTCATCACCATTTCGCATAAAGCAGCAATAGGAAATAGCCCAGGGGCAATGTAAGTGTTATTCTTATTAGCACAAATGTAGCTATGCATCTTATTATGCATCAGTACAAATTTTAGTATTTAATCACAAAACTCTTGCATGATGGGCAATAAAATTTATTGGAAATAATCATTTCAGCCAAGTACTACTCTGGGGCAGGGAGGAATCAAGTACTTCTTACAAATAATGTAAGAAGTACTTACATTATTCTACTTACAGCAGAAACAGAGCACAAATAGGATGTAAAATAGGATGACTAAGCATTGCCTGCTCTGGTTGCTAGTTGCTCTCCTGTGGAGAGGTCCCTGGGACCTTGTGCATCCTGTATATATTGGTCTAATGATACTAGGGTGTGATAGAACTCCAGAAACTAGGCATTGTGTAAATTGATACTGACAGCCAGACAATCCTGGCCTCATTTTTCCTATTCTTCCACTGAGATTTAAAAATAGGCTTCTGGGTATCCTGTTTCCTGTACAAAACTGCTTTCTTTCAGAACAATTAAATGCTGGCAGCCTATAAGCCCATAAGGAATAGTGATAAGAAGCCTGACAATTCTAAGTATTAAAAAGTTTATACCCTTTGTTCAATCTGTACATCTTAAATAGGATTTTCTACTGGTTCACTTTATACAGAATTCTTTTACAATATAAATACTTTATGCAAGAGTCTCTTGTGTATTGTTAACATTTGCAGCTATGTGACTCACACAATTTATGTTTTCTTAATTATATCATTTTTACTCCAGCATGAAAAAAAATAGGAAAGTTACTGGTGCTACATCACATAAGTCTCGAGAACAGAAAAGAAATGACAGTGAGAGTTACCAAGTAAAAAAGCTACTGAAATAATAACTGAGACTGAAAATGTAAATATTGATCAAGAGAGATTGATGATTTTAAAGAATTAAAACAACTTTTCCCTGTTTCACTCTGTGGCTATTTCACTCTGTGATATTTCAGCTTTATAATGTATGTATTCATAAACGAAATGTGAACAGTTCAATCTATCATCTGAAAAAAATACAAAATATTTGAAATTGTGTTGTAGCTCTTTGAAAAAGATGTTCGTTTGACTTTTTGTTCATCAATTTTGGTTATAAAAGCAATTTCACTGGTCCACTATTTATGATTAATTGGGAAAGTTGTGTTCATTCAAAACAAAACTCTTTCAGTAGAGGAGCTATTGTCACAGTCCGGTTCACAGGCAATCGAAGTCCTGGCAGGGGATGTCAGGACCAGGGGCAAGATGGCAGGGTGGTAGCAGGAACGGGGGTCCAGAAGCCAGGAGTCAAGAAGCCAAGGATCCGAGGGTCAGGAAGCAAGGAGGCACAAAGTCAGGGGTCCGAGGATCAAGAAGCAGGGAGTCAAGAAGCCGAGGTTCAAGGATCAGGAAGCAAGAAGCCGAAGGCAGGGAGCGTGTTGCTGTGGCAAAGAGCTGAAGGGAAATGCTGGCCTTATATCCCTTCCCAGCTCTTGCCACCAGGTGCTGTGAGTTACCAATCAGCCTCACCTGTGGGGCCGCGCCTTGCCTCTTCAGAACAAACTTAGGAAGGCCCCAGTCCTGCAAAGTCCTACTGGCCACAGGGCCTGGCTGCTGCACGCACACCTGACAGCTATCACTGAAACCTTTCACCTAAGGAAGTCAGTCAGTCACCACTGACTTTTAGGAGGTTAGTTTAAACCCGTTTAATCGGGAAGATGTTGAGGTTATGGAGTGTGTGAGGGGGGGGGATGATATGGCTACTAGTCATGGCTGGCCCAAGACATATTTTGGCTTGAGGCAAAGATCAGTCTGGCACCCTTCTCCATTACAGATAAGGAAGCTAACTGGACTGGCAGCTGAATCTTAATTCAACATTGCTGATGAGGGAGTGTGCACCACCACACCCGAGACAGAAAGCTAGTTTTGGGGGACAGGACACACCACATCCTCTTGTCCCAACTGAGGGGAATGGCTGAGGCGCTTAAGAGAAACAGCACGGGGGAGGGGAGATTATTGGCTCTTTTTTGTTTCTATTATGTATTTAGTGTCTTTATATTGTGATTTTATGTTGTGAACCACCCTGAGACCTATGGGTATAGGGAAGTATACAAAGGTAATTAATATAATACCAACACTACTACTACTAATAATATCCCCCAGCATCTGCCACTTGAAGCAGTTGCCTCACTTTGCCTAATGGCTGGGCCATTCCTGCTTCTGTTTTTTCTATTTTCTTGTTACTTTATATTGTAACATTTTGCTGTGGTTTTTATTGTATCACATTGTGTTATTTTAAATTGTAAGCTGCTCAAAGAGGTCATGTGAGCAGTATGTACATCTTGGAAATAAATAGGATTTAATCCACCCCGCCTTAAACTCTTTGCTATCATTTTCTGCCAATTTTATATTGATTTTTTATATTGATTTTAGGGAACTGCATTGTTCCAATGGCCTTTATCCTTTTACTCCTTGACATATGAATCTGCCAATGAGTCAGATCATCTAACTCACTTCTGTCTTCTGTCCATATATATATGAATGAAATGGCAGGATGTGCAGCACACAAATGAAATCTCCTACCATTTGAACTGTAGCCCTCACAAAAAAGTCCAATACATAGGCTAAGCTACAATGTTAGGAAGGGCTCCTTTAAAAGCAAATTTATGTCTTAATGTCCAAAATCCCTACATTCCATAAGTTTTACTTACTCATCTATTTGAGAAACACAGTTTTCCACCTCTTTTAGTGCGGCTTGCAGTTTGCACAACAGTTTCTGATAGACATCTTGTGTTTCCAGATCCTCTTCTTTTAACAGATACCTCAAACCATGGCCATCTTGTTGACCCAAGGAGTGTCCCGATGGCGCTGCCATAGTGGTAATTGTATGTTGTACATAAACCATGGGACTCAGTTTACCTGGGCAGGAAGGAAATAATACAGAATGCATAAGTAGGATATCAGGTATGTTGGTCTCTGTAGTTGTAGCTCACTTATTTTGAACCATAGAAGATAATACATTTTTCATGAATCCAGTTAATAATCACACTGAGTTTAAAAAGTTTTACACATTCAACACATGAGCAATTTGATATTGAAAATCCAACTATGCATAACAATTAATTCTTTTTTTATTTATTTTTTTTGCAAATTGTCTGCTTGCTAGTGAAACATTAGTTCTGTTATTCAAGGGTTATAAAAAGTCTGTTTAAATAGCCCAAGCACTGAAGGATCAAACATTTTGGCAAAATCTGCTAGTGCCTAACTGCTTCTTAGTTTGCTTTATGCTAGGAAAAGAAAAGAAAATGATTAAGGAAATTGCAGCTTTTGATAACCATACACCATGGTAGCTTCCTGAATCAGCTGTGTGGGATGGGTATTGAGGGCACTGTTTTGCAGTGGTTTCACTGCTACCTAGAGGATCATGTCCAGAAAGTAGCATTGGGAGACTGTGTTTCAGCTACATGGTCTTTGCACTATGGTGTACCACAATGTCGTGTCTTGTCCTCAATGCTGTTTAACATCTATATGAAATCACCGAGTGTGGTCATTAGGAGTTTTTGGGCAAAGTCAATGTGCTGATGACACACAGCTGTACTTCTCCATAACATGTGAGTCGGGGGCAGCTGTGCATAATCTGGACTGTGCTTTGTGTGCAGTAGTGGACTGGATGAGGGGCAATAAACTGAGCTTGAACCATGGGAAGATGAAGATGCCATAGATTAGTAGTTCCTGTATCTGGAAAATGGGGCAGTTGCCTGTTCTGGGTGGGGCTGCACTCCCTTTGAAAGAACAGGCTCAGAGTTTGGTGGTGCTCCTGGATCCATTTCTGTCACTGGGAATTTATGAGTGGCTAGGAGTGCTTTTTACCAGCTGTGGCTGATATGTCAGCTATGGCCATGCTTGGGACAGGGATGGTCTGGCCATGGTGATCTATGCATTGGTAACCTCAAGGCTTGCTTCCTGGAACGTGCTCTATGTGGGATTACCTGGCTGCTGCAAAATGCTGCAGTTGATGTCGAACATAGGCTCAAATGTTGAGGGGTAGTTTTCAGACAGACAGGTAGGTAGAGGAAGGTAGATAGCTAGAGCTCATATTGAAGCTTACCTTGGTCAGTATGTTTGTTTTCTTTTTCATGGGAAATATGTTTTCTGCTCTCTAGCTGAACACCAAAAGCACTGCCAAGTGACGTTGAAGTTTTAGGATATGAGACTTCCATCACGTTGATATGGCAGTTAGTTGGGCAGAAGTCACTGCTGTGCAGTGGTGAGATCTTTGACTTTGCTTGCTTGAAGGTAGGCCAAGCTCGGTTTTTTAACACCCGTGAAAACTGCAGGGGCAAGGTAGAGCAGTGTTTCCCAACCTTGTGCCTCCAGCTGTTTTTGAACTACAACTCCCATCATCCCTGACTAGCAAGACCAGTGGCAAGGGATGATGGGAATTGTAGTCCAAAAACAGCTGGAGGCACAAGGTTGGGAAACACTGAGGTAGAGTATATTAGCAACTACTAAAAGATTTAAATATAGTTAGCTCTATTTATTTTGCAGATATGAGGAAAATTCTCTCACACACACTTTAGTATTCTCCAGCCTGATAGGTGGAACTGATCTGAAGTTTGACTTCTTGAAATATAACAATGTTCCTTCTCTGTGTCCATGCCTAACCTCACATTGCTTTTTACTGGAGAAGAGAGGAAGAAGATTGCAGGTGAGTCCAAGTGCTACTTCTATTCTAATCACAGACTATGGGAACAATAGTTTGAAAAGCAAAATGAACAATCCTGTGGCAGCCTAAGTCAGAATGAATCCTTATCCTATTTCATTAATTTAGATGTTTTTATTTATTTATTTATTTTATTTATTTATTTTACTTTTTTATTTTACTCTACATCAAGTTGGCGTATCCCTACAACAATCCTGTGAGGTAAAGACAGTGACTGGCCCACAGTCACTCAGGGAGCTTTTCATGGCTGAGCAGAAATTTGACCCCTGTCCTAGTCCAACACTCTAACTACACCACACTGGCTCCCTGCCTTTCCAGGAAAATCCCCATAAGGCAGTTTATAATCAGTCATAAAACAATACAAGAAAAGAACAGCTATATAAAGTCAGAAGTGATTCGCTGGGTGGGGTAGAATTGCTGTGCTAGTTTGTAATCCAGAACTAAGCCAGAGCATTTGCAGTGACCTTCCACACTGCATCAGCCCTCTACCTCCCAGTAAGCAATAGTGAACAGTTCTGCCCCACCCATCAAATCACTTGTAGAAAGATAAGGATTAATCAACAGGCAAAACAAGCAGCAAACCATTCAGGGAGAACGAATCTTTTAAACAGGGGGCTTGATGTGAATCTCATGGAGGTAATTGCCCCAACTGGCTCCCCTAGGGACCAATCAATTGATATTTAGGTACCCACATAGCAAAGCCTAGGAATGCAGACTTTTAATTGATAGGCGTCTTAGCAACAATTCTAACCAAAGTAGGTACTTTTTCTTACAGATCAATAGGCACAGTGCACTCCTACACCCACAAACAAAAACACACATCTATGTTCCTGTGTGCAGCTTCGGTTTTGAATAAAATCAACAGATTATTGAGCTTGTACAAGAAATTTATGCTATGCTGTGTTGATAATATTTCTGCTATGCTATGTTGATAATATTTCTATCCATGTATGTTTGTATGGATATATTATACTTAAACTTGTGAAACTGGAACAAGGAGGACACAAGGACACTTAAATATGAAGAAAGGCAGTACAGTCAAATTTCGGTTGTCGAACATAATCCGTTCCGGAAGACAGTTTGACTTCCGAAACGTTTGACAACTGAGACGTGGCTTCCAATTGGTTGCAAGAGCTTGCACTCAAGCAGAAGCTGCATTGGATGTTCGAGTTCCGAGGAATCTTCAAAAACTGGAGCGTTTACTTCCAGGTATTGGGCGTTTGGGAGTCAAAAGTCAAAAGTACCGTAAGTTCCACATTTCTTTTCATGCATGCGTTGGAAAAAGTGGCGACTATTACCCAGGCCTTAAAACTTCTCTGAGAAATAATGAGATAATAATAAGCACTGCAGGAAGCCACTGCATTTCTGTTTATAGATTTCAAACTTTCACAATGAAGCTAACAGCACACTTTTGTTACTATGGTTACATTAACCTCCCTAAAAGAAAGGCATAGCTATTCTTGGAATGAAACAGGTTACTAATAGCCATCAAGAACAGTAAACATTTTTGAAACGGCAAATTTGCAACATGATTATGGATTTTGGAAAGGTCTTATCTGAGAAGTTGATGAATATGTGGGTTTATAATAAGATAATGTATCAGGTATAGTAATTATATACGCCTTCCCCTTGTGGTTGTGCCAATGTACTTCCTCCTGACCTAGTATGATCTTGCTATTCTTATCCTGGAAACTGCACATCACATTAAATTCTTGTAAAGTAGGCAAGAAATAGGAAAAGCATAATGTATTTGGCTACATTGAATTTCTGACTGAGCAGTTAAAATACCCATCTGAGGCAGTCAAGTTGAAGTAAGGTGAACAGATAGACAGACAGACAGGGTTTAATAAATGGATTGCTAGCTAGATTTATTTAGACCATGACACGTTTTTGAACCATTTATTCTAAAGTCAAGTGGTGGAGTGTTAAATTCCCCCCCTCTCTCCCCACTTGCAAATTGCAAACATTTGCTTGCCAGGTTCCAGTTTAGAAATATAATTTTAGTCCATAAAGCAAAAGACCCAGTTTCAAAGTACAAATGTAAAATTCTAATGCGTGTATAATTCTTGTGAAATGCAAGCAAAATAAAGGATCACTAGGACAGGGGTGGGGAAACCCCTTTCGGCCAGAGGGCTGGGTCAATAGCGGCCAACCCTCTACTGGCCGCATTTGAGCGGCATGCTTTCAGCACTGTTTAGATTTGATGCCAAATGCAAGCTGCACTGGTTTTGGACCCAGTCAGCAGGGATCAGCCCACTCAGGCGCTCCGGACAGGAGCTCCCAAATGGATCTGCTTCTGCCTGAAAGCAGCAGGACTTGCATTCAGCACTAACTAAACAGCAGCGAATAGAAGCCATGGCTGCAATGGAACTTTCATTAGGACATTCTTGGGTTCCTGATTCTTTCTTTGCAGCCGCAACTTTACTTGTCCCTACCTTTCATCTTATTACATCAGGTGAATGACCTGTCAGTGTGGTCAGCCCAAAACAGTCTGTTGAGCAGAACTGGGAGGTCTGGCAAATCTAACTAGGCCTGCAGGTCAGGTTCCTACGGTTGCTCTCCTATCTATCCATTGTTCAAAGGGGGAATGGATAAAATGAACATTTGAAACACCATAACTAACAAGATAATAAAATATTATTATAAGCATTGACATTTTTCTGTATTATGGCTGATTATTTCTTTTTCTTTAGCATCATTAATGTGCATGACATCTCACAAAGTGGACAGGTGCCTGATCTTTTATTTAACATAGAATTTGACCTAGGGGAGACAACAGAGGAAGGAGAGGGGGACATGTAGGTAGGAGTAAACAGTGGGAGAGCTAGTATCTCAGTTACACATACCCTGTATTTAGTTCCAGCTGAGTATTTTTAATTTCTAAACAAAGTCAGTAACTCCCCCCCCCATTTTTTTTTTTGCTCCTTACCTTTTTATAACTAGTGATCCTTCTGCAAATGTGCTCAATTTTCTCACTGCAAGTGGCACTGAATTTATTCTGAAGTTCAGTGGGGATGACTTCATTTAAACTATTCAGACTATTACAGTTTTGCACAAATTGCTCATCACTTTTTGCTAAAGCTTCGAGAATCTGTGAGTAAGACAAAAGCGGTGGATTGTGCTGGTGTTAAAAAGACTGACATTAGATATCAGTGTAAACAAACAAGTAATGCAGGACGATAAACATTTTTTCTTGCAGAGGATATTTCTTTTCAGGTTTAAGTATGCTGCTTGTCAGCAATAGCTCCCAGATACTGAGCTGCAATTTTGTTTGTTTGTTTATTTAATTAATTCATTTCTATACAATTTTCTATATGCCTTACCTGCCTTCCTTAAGCACTAGTCAACTTGGCTATCGCTTCTTCCTTCTTCTCCCTCCTTCTTTCAATTCCTTTATCCCTGTGAGTTGGAACCTGATTTCCTTAACACTCTGCCCTTGTCATATTTGTATTGTTTAAAACAAACCCCAAGCTCGTTACAATTACAAATAAAAGAGAACATGTCAAAGGAACCTCAACCCTGAACAGAGGTTTTAATTGTAGAGTAGAGGCTTGCAAAGCCCATTGGCTGTCATTAACCCATCCTCCCTTCACAATAACTTGGCAATATTGTTTAGAGGAAAACAGATCCAGGATACAGACTCCAGATCCTATAGACAACTGCAAAATATGCAAAATCAAAAGGCCTTATAAATTAATTTATTCTATGTGAAATAATAATCTTTTATTGATTTTTTTATTGGAATTTGGTAAAAGTCAAAGTAATTGGGAATTTACTAATCACCCAATTTTTGCAGACATTGTAATTATAGTTATAGCTTATTACAGTTGCCCTAGAACTGAAGAAGTTAGTTCATGTAATTATAGACAGAAAGCTTTTAAACTCTTACTTTCTGAATCAGCACATTAATTAAAGGTTTCTAATTGCTTGTAAGAGTTTAATTTTCTGCAGGTTTAATTAATAATGCAAAACACACCTGCAAACGTAATCCCTTGGTTATAACTACAAAGACTGCTGTTAAATCATTACTAAGACTTCTGGACCCTGTCCTTGATTTTCAAATTATTATATTTTTACCAGCTCTAAAATATTGCATTGCTATATGGTTTCCTATTTTTAAAAAATTAAGCTGCTTATTAATTAGGCTTCACAGCTTTGGAGAAAAGAAATCTACGAGGATTACTATATCCAACACTCAAACACAGCTACCCTTCCATTGTTTCACATTACTTCTATTTGCTACAAGGTGACTTACCAAGCAATCCTCTGGTTCAAGGTATACAGCATAGGTGGGTATACTTTCCCCCTCCCTATTGATGGCTTTCACTGGGTGGCCTTGGACCAGTCAACGTAACCTACCTCTGGATGGTAAAGACTGAGCAAAGTGAAGGTGCCTTGTGCACCTAGTTCAAGAAAAAAATTAACTCACTTCTTCACCCAGAATGCAAAAGGCTTTTTTTATAGGGTCTGGCCTGGTATCTGAGTGACGTTTCATAACAAAAAACATGGGCAGAGTATTCCTGGAACATTATGACTTCAGTTAATTAACTGCCACGCCACAGGGCTTTCTCCCCCTCCTTGTATCTTGTATTTCCTCATTTATTACATAGTTTTCATTTATAATTATTAGTTAATATTTCTGTGTGAATGGTTTTGTGGTGTTTGCTCAAAAGGCAACATGAATATACAATAATTAAATAAATGGATTCCTGGAAAAAACTGTATATTTCCCTTTAAAAAAACTTTTGTGGGGTATGGGGGTATAGTTGGAAAGGTAGCGAAATTTTTACTTCTTCAGCATTTGTTGTTTTGAGTTTAGAGGCTCAATTTATGACTACACTACAACTTAATTTTCTTTCTGGGTGAATGACCACAATTCATGACCATCGATAGGACACAGGTCACTGGCAAAGAATACACTTGAGATTAAATTACAATAATCATATCCATAAATCATATTCATAAATAGGGTGTGCTGCTTCAGTGATCAAAGGAACAATAAAGAACTAAACAAATAAATATTTTATGTTTCATACCTTTGCAGTCAAGCTGAAAAAGCCCTTTGGTTCAATCATCTTTTCCAAAACATGGCATTTTATTCCCGCCGTGCTGTCATACTCGTAAACTACACCGTATTCCAGGTGAACATTATCAACAGTTAGACTAACATGGTCCTTCCGTCCATCAATTATTGCCATAGTATTAAATTTGTCAATTACTTCTAAAAAACAAATTTAAAAATCAAATTGTTTTGAATCCTATTATGCTTACTAAACTAACTAATATGCCTAAATTAACTAATTTACTAAATAAACACCTATTTCATTTTGTTAATGATTGAACAGGGTGAGTCAGGTGAAAGAGACTGTGGTGCAGATACTGTGTCTCTGAAACATGGTTCATTTGTTGTAAAGGGATTTTAAAAATATTATCTGCAAACCAAAGCTGTAATGACAGTAACAGACAACCAAAATATGAGTATGCCTTGCTGTTATTCTGTGGGCACAATCCAATATGAAAACAAGCATGCTTAAATCCAGGGTTAGGGAATCTTCTGTATTGCATTCACAAGATAAAAATATACTACGATAGCAGATATGTGATAGGTAATAAAACCATGCCATCTAGCAATAACTGCACTTTATCTTATACTTTGAACTGTATTATACGAACAGGTGAAAATTGTGTTTGCTTTGGTAAGGGTAACATCCAAAGCTCACCTTTATTTTGCTTAATAACAAAGAAACAAATAATCCTACCTTCTACTTTGCAGTCAAAGGCATCTCCTCCATCTTCCCCCAAGGGTTTGGAGTTTGTTCTTTGAAGATCTTCCTGGGCACTCTCAATACTGTTATATACCCACTGAATAGAATCTTGCTGTAGGAAAGTAATAACAATGATGAAAGTTTTTACTTTACACAAGTTTTTACTTCACACACACACACACACACACACACACACACACTAATTCATATTAGCTTTGCCAGAGAAACCGTGTTTTTATTATAAATGAACCAAAAGGAGATTTGGTATTTTACATTTTTAAGTCCCCTAAGCACACACATCCTTTTTGTATGTGAGAGAAATTCAAAAGAAGGCAAACATGTGCAGAAGATATTCTTGTTGTGGAATTCCCTCCCAAGAGATGTTAGATTAGTTCCTTCATTATTCTGCCATGGGAAGGCTGATTCAGACAGGCCTCTGAAAATTAAGGTACAGACAATGCTGATCACTGGGATGCTGTCAGGGGAAACCATTTTACTTGCTGGTTTTAAATGTTTTGATGTATTTTAATTATTGTTTCTATCTAGTTTGCTTTTATTACTTTATATTTTATAATTTAATCATGTTGGTTTTTTTAATGTGGAAAATTGCCCTGAATCCCAACTTGGGAGAAAGGCAGGATATAAATATGTTAAATAAATAATAGAAAGCTGTTGCTTGCTGGGTGTTCACCACAAAAATTAACAGGTGAGAGAAAGGAAAGCATGGTTTTAAATTACATTCACTATAGCAAGACCAGATCACTTCGTCATTTGTTTTACTTCAAAATTTGTTCCCAGATATGTAGAACTTTGCTGGACTGGCAATAAAAAAGTGGATCCATCCCCAAAAAATGTTAATTAATTTACTTAATATATTTGAAATCAATCTCATGCTGAGTTACTGAAACATTACATCCCCCATAGAAGCTTATATCACCCGCACTTAAATGCAGCTGGATGAACCACAAAAATAGCTTGTGTTCTGATAGAATTGAAAACATAGCCTCTAAAGGGAAACGTGTGGGATGAAATGAAAGTTAAGCAAGAACAGCAAAAAAAATACAGTTTTGGCACATTGCTCCCATGAACTAGAGCTTAAACTTATTTCTCTTTCACGATCATTGCAATTATATTCATGAAGAATTCAAAATACATTTTATGTACCAGATGAGGTTTAAATCGGAATTCCATTTATATTTTATAAAAGATGCATCATAACAAATGGTATGTTTTAAATCTTTACTTTATCTTACAACACCCTGTTGCCAAAACTGTCAACACAAATCTCCTGAAGATTTGTATATAATAGTGAAAACAAAGAAGATAATCTATCTGAGTATTAAATTTAAATATTGCTTATTTGGTTACATCTTGAGCACCTGCCGGTAGGGTACATTCACCAAAGCAAAGCAGGACTGCTTGGATACATATTTATTTGGTTCTTCAGAAAACACCCTGGGGACCAGTGCCCTTGTAGGATTCTCAAGATCATCAGTATAACCCATAGTCATTTTTTTTACCAATATAAAGCTGTTCAGAAGTGCAATAAGTTTTGTTTAACTACCGTTAAAACGAAACCTATTGCACTTCACTGGAGCTTTATGACCAGCCTTTGTCTTATCTCTCATAATCCTTCTTTGGAAAGGTTACTTAAAAGGCTGTTGGAGGGCATATTTGGCACTAGGTCAAATTTCATTATATCCCTTGCCATTTTTTAGCTCAGTTTTTCGCCCTGCATGTGCTGGTTTCGGCTGTAGATAATCTTCTCTGAATGCTGGAAAGGAGTAAAGCATTCACAATAATCTCCCTACATCCTGTTCCAAAACTTTTATTTAAAAGTTGGTCCTCTTTGACTTCAGCAGAACTCAGTTCTAATGTGTGGTTCGAATTAGATGAGACAACAGCTTTAGAATAATTGACTATTATATATTTTTAACGTTCATTTGCCAAGGAATGGAAGCGAACTGTATTTTTTGTTTAAGTAGCATTAACAGCAAATAAGTAAGCACCATCTTTACATGCATCGGACGTCTGTATTTCCTGCAGGCTGTGACATGGGCAATAACACTTGCATGAGTTTCTTTGCTGACATTAATCCCATTCACTTTAATTATGCACTGTCCAGGGTGGAGGCCAGCAGCTGCTGCTACGGTTCCTTGAAAACAGTTTAAAAAATTGCCAAGTTAGAAATTTCCTTCTTAGGGGGAAAAAATGTTTGGTTTTATAGTTGCTTGTTTATGCAAGAAAATGTTAAATTAAACCAACACTATGATTCAACAGAATATGTACAATGTGCTTTACATGAGAATCCCGCCCCCCTATAAATTGTTGGTGTGATCTATTTTGATAAGGTTATCAACTTGGTGGGAACTGGACACCTCTGGAATTAGTAGCCAATAAAGCAGGTCAATAAAGCTGACGAACAATGGTGACCATGCAGTCAAATAGCTAGAGGGGCCTCCTGCTGCTAATGGGGCCTCCTGCTGCTGCCGCGCTGCCGGAGCATGATTTCTGTTCTCATCCTGAAGCAAAGTTCTTAACCTGAAGCACTATTTCTGGGTTAGTGGAGTCTGTAACCTGAAGCGTATGTAACCTGAAGCGTATGTAACCCGAGGTACCACTGTATACTGGTATTTTGTTGTTGCTGCCCCTTTTGCCCATTTATTTATATCTATCCTAATCATAAACATGTCAGTCTGGAACTTGTTTATTGGAAAACCTAAATTCAGGTATGAAGGTATGTTTATCTGTCCTGACCTCACGAAGGAGTCAGAGACAGTGAAAGTCACAGGGCTCAAAGGCTTCTTAACGGTGCATCTCAATGCAGCAAATCATGGCAGCTCAGCAGAATATAGAGAAATACCATGTTTGTCTTACCTATGATCTAAAAAAAGCTCATCAGTGTTGGCTTATTGTTCATAGATTGTTGCTGGGAAACAAACAGTGAGCCTGGGTTCAGATGACGTGCTCATAATGTAGTGTTGCCAAGAGGAGAGAGGAGCATAGCAGGGATTTCTGAGCAGCATGCACCAGTGTGCTGCTCATGCATGTTAAAACCATAGTTAAAATGTAGCTATGGTTTAATATGGTGTGTGAAAACCACTATAACCTTCTTTCATCACGACTATTCATAGAACAACTATCAAAGCAAATACCCATCAAGTATTGATCATATGACTCAGCCATATATATCTAAAGTAATTCCATCTACAGCTTTCCATATTTCGTGGGGATGGTTTTATTTAGAAAAGATATTCACAACTACAATCCACTTAAATCCCTCTGCCTACCTCTTCCAACAGCATGGACAACAGAAGGACCAAAACCTCGTATTTGGAATCCAAGGCCATCCACAGAGTCAGGGATCTTCACTGTCCTGAGTGCAAGAGAAATGTCATGGTGGAAGATCCAAAACCAGTGTGCTTATTACATTTATCAATTTTTACACAGAATATAGCAATTTACTAATAATAAAACTATTGTTATTATTATTATTATTATTATTATTATTATTTAAATTCTACTAAATTCTCAGACAATGGATTACACATGAAGCTTAGGTTTTGAGAAGGGGGAATAAGCACTGATGAAGATAAGAATAGTAAGAATAATAATAGTATTTATACCCCAGCCACTCTGGGCGGCTCCCAACAGAGGACTAAAAACAGAATAAAACTTCAAACATTAAAAACTTCCCTAATAATCAAGGAACACTGCTTATTCCAGAAAACGCCCTCTTCACGTGTTTAACCTATTGAATATTTATTTGGTGTTGACAAAATGTTAAAAAATAGCAGAAAGAGAAACTTAAATCACATTTTCTGATATATTGATACATTATCATTTATTATCGATTCATAGTCTCATCATTATCATTATCAACAACACTAGATATTCCTTACTCTATATACAAATAATTTAAATTACTTAAATTCTTGTAAGTCCTTTCACCCATTAACCTTTACCCCCTATTCTGATCATTAAAATTTGGCAAAAGAGTGTTTCCTCTTTCCTTTTGTATCTGCATGCCTTTGCAACACACCCTCTTCACAATTGACCAAACGAAAGTAACAACTTACTCCCTGGGTTTTGTGCTCACAAGCACCCTGAGGGGCTTTCTGCTGCTTAAACATGCTTTCAGAAAGTTATCCACTTCACTGAAGGGTCTCAGAAAAACTAGGTCACCATTAATGGCAAAGATCTTTTTCCCAACTTCCAGACCTGCCATCTAGATAAGAAAAGATAAGACATACACAATTGTTTTAACAGAACTAGTGATGTACTAATTTCCTTTACACAAAGGAAGATGCTGCAATGCCTGCCATGTGAGAGTATGCCCGCAGCTATGAAATCTACACAATCCACATTATTTTTGGAGGTCAAAGAAAAATCTCTGTTTTGTAAATTTCGAAGTATTGGAAGCATCACTTTGTTAATTATAATATTTATGCAGCCTTGACAGTAGTGACCAAAAAGTTTAAATTATTCCATATTATCTATCTTGGCTCACCTTTTTCCATTTATCGAAAACCACTTTGCTTTATGGAGATATGCATTTGAAAGCACAGAACTTACTGAATATTTAGGTTTGCTGATACAGCTCAGAAACATACAGAAGCCCAACAGTACCTTCAAAATATTAATTCTATTGACTGAAAACCTGAACTGCTATATTACAGAAGCCATTCACATCCAGTCAGTTTCATCTTGCAAAGAAAGTGCATACAGCTGCAAGGCTCTGTAATAAATGGAACTACTCAGGGAATATTTCTCAGTTTATTCAAAAGTTAAGCGTTTGAATGAAGGCAGAATAACAACCTTGTATTGACAACCTTATCACCAATAACCTGTTTCTCTTCCGAAATTGTTCCCTGACTTATGAAATGACAAAGAACTTTGTAGAGCCAACTTTGTAGTCCTGTACCCACTTATCTGAAAGTAAGACCAACTAAAGTCAATTGAGCTTACTTTTGAGTAGACATATATAGTTAGGCTCGTCCTGCACAGGTATGTTTCTTGCGCTAAAACAGAGTTGCTCAGACTTTATAAGAATATCTCTCTGTAAGAATATTTCCTGTGACTCCCCAACCAAAAAACCTGACCACCTCTTTGCAGCAGTTCTATACCAGCCCCACTTTTTCTCATCCCCAACCCCCTGCACAGACCACTTTAACATATCCCCATGAGAAATTCCTCCTACAAAGGCTTGCTCCCTGTACCAGCTCATCTCCAGCAGCATAGTCAACAACTCATGATCCCATTCCTTCCTTCCAACAATTCCAGTTTAGCAAAACCCACATTCTGGGAAATTTGAGCTCTGGCTACCTATAAACTTCATACAAATAATTCACAAGTGGGGAACCGCACTAGGAGTTTTCTAAGTTTTAAAAATATATTTGCAGACAGGAATATCTGTGAAGTAAAATAATCATGTATTACCTCAGCATTTGATCCCTTCTCCACTATTTTAATAATTGGCACTTTGTTTTTGTCTTCCAAGCCGAAACCATAGCTTCCTTCAGTTGATTTAATCTGTAAAAGAGAAATTGACACATATTGGGGAAAATATTTAAAATACATTTAAATTAGAACATGAGGTGCAATCAGGTGAGACTAAATCTTGACAAAATGGAGGTCTTGTCTGTTGAAGGAGCAAACACATAGGGGAGCCAGTGTGGTGTAGTGGTTAAGAGCGGTAGTCACGTAATCTGGGTAACCGGGTTCGCGTCTCCGCTCCTCCACATGCAGCTGCTGGGTGACCTTGGGCCAGTCACACTTCTTTGAAGTCTCTCAGCCCCACTCACCTCACAGAGTGTTTGTTGTGGGGGAGGAAGGGAAAGGAGATTGTTAGCCGCTTTGAGACTCCTGAAGGGGAGTGAAAGGCGGGATATCAAATCCAAACTCTTCTCTTCTTCTTCTTCCTTGTTCAAGCATTGTTACTGGAAGCCAAAGTGGTGTCACTGTCATTTAGTGTCTATTCCAGCCACACTGGTTTACCAACTATGATCTTTCCTAGACCAAGGAATGGTCACATTAATCCCTGCCATGTTAATCCACATTCTGCTCCCCCCACCCCCCTCTTCCTCCACCAGTGACTGATGCTGCAGGATTTCCATGGGTTACCTGTCTGAGCCCAATTTGAGAACTTTGAGAAATAAGTAACTTATTATGCCCTTAACAACTTAAGATCCAAAGACTTGAAGGAGCGCCTCTCCTTATGCCTGCCAATGTACTGAGATCTGCAGGGAAGGCCCTTCTTGTTGCTCTAACATTGGGTGCAGTGTCACAACTTAGTCCCAGCTTGCTGCATTTTAAATTGTGGTTGCATCTAATACTGACTTTAAATTGTTATTGAAATTGTTATTATTTTACTGTATTGATGCTTTGGGCTGTAACCCATTCTGATACAAGTGATGAAGGGCAACTTGAAAACCAACCAACCAAATGTAAATAAGATTAAATAAATGTTGCCAAGAGCAAACTGTTAACACTTTGTGGTTTATTTAAAATGTGGCCACCTAACAACCTGTACCTATGAGCCTCAGTCCTGACAAGTGTAGCCAACTTCCTGACTGATGTCACCATTGCTCTATGTCAACACACAATGGGATACCTCAATCTATGTTGCTTTCTCACAAAAAGCTTCCTCTCTTAGGTGTATCATCTGCTGGAAAGTGAAAGGTGGCAGAAAGGACTGGGGTAAGACAAGGGCTGAAACAGGACTTAAGCTGACCGGCAGCTATTCAAGATGGATGTTCTTCATACAGTCTAAGGTGCCAGAGACTAATTCTAGGCATTCTGTGTGCCTTAAATCTGTGCCACTATGTCACAGCTTCCAAGAGGAGGGAACTTCTGACATGATCTCTGCAATGCCATTACTGCAAATGCCCAGTCTAGCAGAGACACAGGGAACCAATGTTGCTGTTGTTTTGTTTAATGGTTTTTTCAGTATTTCATTCATCTGTGGGGTTGTTGTTGTTGTTGTTGTTTTTAATTAGCCAACCCAATACAGAAAGGAAAAAGCATCAATGTGATGATGATGATGATGATGATAAAGGAATCTCAATCAGGCCCTAAAGGCTGCTAAATGTAACCTGGCTTCTCATGCAGAGAAACTCAGTGCTCAGGAACAGACTTAATCATCAGCTTATCTGCTTCCTTGATGACCTGTCAGTTATTTGTCTGCTTATCTGTCTGCTGGAACACTCACACATCCACCTCTCTGTCTACCTGATTATTTCTCTGCTTGACCACTTGCTCAGTCACCTGTGATACCTGCTGCTTGCCTCCAGGCCACTAGCCCTTGCACTAAGATATGACACAAGTCACTCAAAAAGATTTATATGACTCCCCAGTTGCTGAAAAAAATATATCACCCAGGTCACCTAATCAGCTTATAAAAATAGTAGCCAAAAAGTCAATATACAGTAACAATCATCAGATGACATTCAGAAGAGGTAGCAGGAAAACAACCCTAGGAATAAAATTCAAATAAATGCAACAATAAAACACAGTAGAAGTGATACCATATTGACTTAGGTGGAAGTCTTGGGTAAAGAAAAAAAAGCTTGTTATTTTGTGCACCAAAGAAAACATACTGGCTGACAATTGGGCCTCCCTATCAAGTGTAAAGGTAAAGGTAAAGGTACCCCTGCCCCTACGGGCCAGTCTTGCCAGACTCTAGGGTTGTGCGCTCATCTCACTCTAGAGGCCGGGAGCCAGCGCTGTCCGCAGACACTTCCGGGTCACGTGGCCAGCATGACATCGCTGCTCTGGCAAGCCAGCGCAGCACACGGAACACCGTTTACCTTCCCACTAGTAAGCGGTCCCTATTTATCTACTTGCACCCGAAGGTGCTTTCGAACTGCTAGGTTGGCAGGCGCTGGGACCGAACGACAGGAGCGCACCCCGCCGCAGGGATTCGAACTGCCGACCTTTCGATCGGCAAGTCCTAGGTGCTGAGGCTTTAACCCACAGCGCCACCTGCGTCCCTTAACCTTAATCAAGTGTATATTAAATAATATGTGTATACGTACACACACACACACATGCATTAATGCATGCACACATACTTCATTAAAACAAACAAACTTACCAGCAGTGATTTGGCTATTACATTTTCCACTACTTTTAGATCATGTTTCATGAGCCTGTGCTTCATGTTTGAGCCTTCCATTTCTTCATCAGCAAAAAAACGAAAGAGAAGTGGTTCATCTTTGAACTCACTTTTTTCCAGCACTGTTTGATATAAAAATAATATTATTTTTCTGTGACGCCACAAACTCATTTTGCTATTGATATTCTGATTTTGCTTAAGCATGTACAAGTGAAACAGCCACATATTGCTTCCCTGTGCCCCCTTCCTCTCGTTTCCCCTATGACAAATTCTAGATTTTAGGCTCCTCACAGCAGAGACCTGTCCTGCATGTTCTAAAACTCCAGAAATACTTCAATGATGGAAAATGTATCTTTGCTCATAAATCAACAATGGAAGAATTCTGTGTTTGGGGCATTTAGTACTGTTGACCACATTAGCTATCTGTGGCATGCTTTGGGACATACCCACCCATAAGAAAACACAAGGTATACCATGCAAAAGTTTACATAGGATAAATATTACCTTTATTAAAACATACATTGGTGGCTCAAACATGTGAGCCACATTGTTCCAGGTACAGGAAAAAATATTTTGCTTCACAAGCCTTACATTATTGATGGCCACCAAGCTTGGGCATTCTTCTTCTTTGGCCATGCAATACTGAGACACAAAAGTATCTCCTAGGTGAGGGTTTTCAGTAGTAAAACACAAGGAGGGGGAATGTGTGGCCTTCTCATCATCCATTGGCCATGCTCACTTGTGCTGATGGGAGCTGGAGTATCTGGTTCAAGAGTTCCAGACTTACAAATTAAGGAGTACTTGAATGAAAATTGCATACCGTGGTGCATAAATCCATTGTCACAAAGTGCTATTCCAAAGATCATTGCTTCTTCTCTTGTCCTACAATCTCCCTATTAATAAATAATACGTGCCTCAATGTAAATATCATAAGCAACAATTCTAAATCAGGAAAACAACCATGTATCACTTTTGCAACATGTACAAAAACTGGGTTGCATATAAATCCATTGTTTTAGAAGCCTTGTATCGGTCCTAGAGTGTTACTGATAAAAAGTTGACACCTCCGTTGAGGAACAATAACCTTTATTAACATACTTATTTGGGATGGTATCCAATGCTGCACAAGTGGAATAGCCTTCTGTTTCTGTGGTGATTTCACCATGGCCCCTGCAGCTGCCTACATGGCTCCAAAATCTGCATGTGGACAGCTGCAATGTTGGGGGAAGAGGACAGTGAAGTCTCCTGGCAGAACTGGAAGTCCATTCTACTCAGAGCACAAATAGGGTTGGGTACAAAAAAAACCAACTTACAAAAATTGAAGGCAACAAAATCATGACATTTCAAAAAGACTAAAACCCCAACACATCCATGTTCCCACCAAAAGGCAAAGGAGAGAGAAGAAGTAAATCCATAGGGGGCCACGCCTCCTTATAAGGGTCCCATGGAGGGAGGGAGGTCAAAAATCTTGTCTCCTAGTGGTCCAACACAGAACTCTGCCCATGCAGCACTGGAAACAATCCAATAAAAGGGGAACAGGGTGGGCATCAGCATTCTACTGTGGCACTCACTGGTAGATTTCCAATGATGCCAGGTGCTGATGTTGGCCTTGAGGTGTATATAGAGCTACAAGTTATATTCTACATCATGGGAAAATCTGTATTGATAATAGCAGTTAGTAGACATTAAATTTGCTAATCAAGGCTATGTGCTTCAGAGCATTTTCCTACCTGTGCAATTAGCCAGTCTATCAATTTATTAGCCATGACTATAGATTTGTAGGTTCTTAGATGGTAATCTTTATCTCTAAGGAAATAAAACATACAAAATAATTCAATCCCAAATTGACATATTTGACATTTATTGAATATCACACACAACATGTCCCATGATTTAGCCAACAGATTGCCATTACCACAGTTGTTCCCTGTTGCAACAACCCCACCTTACTCTCCATTACCAACACATTAATCAATCTTTCGCCCTCCCTATGTGGGGAGCAACTACTATCTAGCGTTCTGAATCAAAACCTCTGAAAACAAGACCTACCTTACCACAGGAGTAAACAGGCTGTGCAGACGACAATATAATCTTACACCCTGTTAAGAGATATAAACAGGTTTAATGCTAAACTGATGTTCAAATAAAGAACAATAACCAATAAGGACTTGTTTAAAACCAGTTAATTCAAACTAATACTGGGTTGGATCCAACCTTAGTCATGTTTAGAGAACCTTAGTAGGCATTCTTGTAAATTCAAAACACATTGGTGGACCACAGAAATTTTATATTTAAAAAGCTAGATTGCTTTTAGAATGCTAGAAAGGTAAACAAATTTAAAATTTCAATCGGCCTACTGAATAGACTCAACTCTGAGCATGACCAAGCCTGAGGCTAATCCACATTTTGAATATTGCTATAAATTGTAGCATTAAAATGGCAGACTAGTAAAGCAACTATCACAGGCACAAATGCTCCAAAGTTTAGCTAAGTTCCTACTCAGCCACTTCCATTGATTAGTCAATGAGTATTTAAATACAGACATTTCTCATAATTGTCATTTTGGTATACAACAGCAATATTGCCTTTCAAATGTAGGTGATTACCCCACTCCAATATGCATTCTTATCCCATTCTGAGCAACCTATGAAGTATAGGAAAAAGATCTCACCGGGCCCAGTGAACTGGAGAACAGGTTTATCATTCTCCTTCCGAGAATACTTATTGTGTTATAATTTCATACATTCAAGCTCATGTGTGTGCAGTGATGGATGAATTGTTTTAATATAGAAAAATCTTTTTTTATAAGAGTATCTGGTAAATTTATACTATACTATGACATTATAAGGTTTATACCTTGGAAATTACGTCCTGCATTTCACTTCTCGGATAGTATGTGCCATCATCATAACGGAATCTGTAGAGCATGTGCTCAGGCTTGAACTGATGTTTGTCAGTAACTAAAGCAAAGGCAAACATAAAAGACAGATGAAAAAAAGTCTAGTGCTTTAACACCCGAGATGTGTGTTTTCAGAACCTTCTCTATTTCTGTGACTCTAATTTGCTTAAACTATTTTTAACACTGTGTTTTAAATTGTTGTAACCCACCCTAAGATCTGCTGGTGAAACCTTATATGGTTGCATTTCGGTTAGCTTTCTGCCATGTTCCCAGATCCCTTTTATTGAGAATCCATTAGTATATACAGTCGGACCTCTGAAGTTGAACACCTTGCGAGTCGAACATTTTGGCTCCCAAACGCTGTAAACCTGGAAGTGAGTGTTCTGGTTTGCAAGCATTCTTTGGAACCCAAACATCCAATGCAGTTTATGCGGCTTCCGATTGGCTGCAGGAGCTTCCTGCAGCAAATTGGAAGCTGCACCTTGGTTTCCAAAGTCAAACAGACTTCCAGAACAGATTCCGTTCGACTTCCGAAGTACGACTGTACTTATAGTTAAGAATTTTCTTGTACCACCCTAGGCCCCTTCAGAAGGAAGGGCAGAATGTAAATTCATTACTCGTCAACAGGAAATTCCTGCACTACCTTTGATGCATGACATGCCTTAATTAATCAGAGGCATGTTTTAGTCCACTATCCATCCTGGCTCACCGCAGCCACTAGCTGCTCTATGTATGTACATGTGTGTGTGTGTGAGGGGGTGCTATTGAAAATGGCAAAAAAATTCCTTCCAGTAGCACCTTAGAGACCAACTAAGTTTGTTATTGGTATGAGCTTTCGTGTGCATGCACAATGCTGGTAAACAACTGAGCTGATTTGTAGAGGCTTCTCAAACTAAGCAACAGTGTGTTAAGAAGGACTGAATGAAAGGCGGGGGCAGTAGCTGCAGGAAAAATAATTACAGGCAGCATCTGAAGATGCTTAAGTGAGTAGACAGCAAAAGAGGAAGCAACAAGCTGCATGTTGCTCAGCCTTGCTCTGTGGTCTATATTGATGGATTCGCCTCTAATATTGAAAGAAATTAAGTGGTATGAAGCTCCTCATTGTAGTTATAGGCTGGTATTTATCAACTTGCCTTCCATATCAGCTGAGGAAAATGCTTTTTCTTAAAAGGCAGCTGTGCTTGCTTACTAATTAATGGCTTGAAGCAAGCTTTCCAAGAGGAAATTTGGAGGGTTGAGGAGTTTGTGAGTGCATACTTGCATTCATTAGATGTGATTATGACGTATTAAGGAAAACAAGCAAAAAATAATGCCTGCAATTTCTGTAATAGGTCTGAGTTTATTTAGTTTTTAGAAAACAATACTTAATGCAGTGTGCATGTATAATAATACTAATTATTTTTCCCCTTAAAATGTATAATTAAAGTTGTGTGTTTGTAATGTGAACCTGACTCCTTCACAAACACACGTCCTTTCTCAGTTGAAGAGCAGATGGTTCATTCAACTTTATTTTAAGAATTCTATTCCTGTGGACAACACAGCTGGGTCTACTTGGTAATAAAAGTAATATGTCTGGCTCAAACTTCTGTGTTCTGTCTAAAGTAATGACTCCATCAAAACAGCCGATAAAATATTCATTAAATTTCTATTGGGTCAATCTAGGATTGAATTCTGAGTATAATTTAAAAGCAAAGTTACTTCTTCAAACAAAATTTTTATATAGTACATTTAAATATAGTCTGACATAAGAAATTATTATACACTTCCAATCAACAACCGATTTAAGCACGTCCAACTGATACATGATAGAGCACGTATGCACAGCACTGAACCTAGAAGTGACCCTAAAATGTCACTGAAAGGGCGGAACGGGGGCGGGGAGGGGTGGAATGCTTAACACAGGTCCCACCAACACCTGTGGGGGTCTAGAACATATCCCCCGCCCAAACAAGGATTGCCTGTATGCATTTTTTCATCCTGTCTAGAGAAAATATCCTCTATTAAAGTGAGGTGTCAATAAACAACGTAGCATATTTGTAGTAGATTTCTATCCAGCATTTCCTATCACCAGGCAATAGAGGAACATACCCCTTGTTAGCAAACTCTGATTGTCTTGCTATCAGCAAGCCTCCTCCTATAGCATTTCACCAGCCTTCAAATATACACTAACTATTATTGAGAGCTGTACTTAAGTCATCTATGAGGAATCCTAGATCTCATCCTTGTTATTCTAAATGCGTGGTAGCTGTCTCCATGAGATACACATGGAGACAGCTACCTTCAAATACTTGAGGGCTGACTGACTGACTGACATAAATACTTGAGGGAAGGGGAATATAATTACCATGGTGTATAATGCCGTTCTCTAGTAAAGCCTGACCAAGATGAACACCTTCTTCGGGTCTGTGGATCTCCCCAATTTCCAACAACCAGGATACAAACTCACTAGTTAGGAAAAAAACACAGAATTATTTTAGCATATTTTAAAATTAAATGGCAGAAAAATAATGACTTCAAATGAATCAAGCTTATGGAAGCACCAAAACTTGGTTTGGGTTTTAAATTTACTATTCAAGAATTCATACAACCCCTCCACATCTAGATCCCTTGTTCCCTTCAGCAACAAGCTATGATACAGATAAGGACATAGGAATATGGCACTATGAACTATGAAAAGAATCCAGCACACAGATTAGTGTAGGTTATCTCATTAACTTGGATAAGTGTAGTTTGCTGTCTTTCAGTTTGTCATTTTATGATCTTTTTGTTTTGATTGTTAAATTCTTGGTGCAGCAATAAAACTGCTAGCACATTTGCAAAGCTAAGCAGGGTCCAGTATGGAGCCTCCTAAAAGATACTTATGAAGTAACCAAGAGCTGGCTCTTTCAGTTTCAGAACTGCCACCACCTGAAGTATCTAGTGTGTGCATTGCTGCACATAAATAGCCTACAGTTCCCTGGAGCAATGTATATTGATAACATGCCACAACTCCAGGGGAGATTATACAGAGAAAAATACATGGCTGCCCTCACGCCCCCATACAATTTCCTTGAGAGTCATGTCATCAGTATATGTCGCTTCAGGGAAAGTGAAGGCTATAAGTGCAGCAACGCACATACCAGCTACTTCAGACCTGCTGTCATGAATGTAAAAAAGAAGAGAGCCAGCGTACAGCCACATAATCATAACTATTTTTAAGAGACTCCAGCACATTCAGCCACATAACTGTGGAATTGAGACAGAGTGTAGATTCTGAACTGAACCCACATCCAATCCACACTTCGGTCAGGGTAATTGCTTCAAATTCATGTTTACTGAATTCTTCCTCCAGCCAAATGAAGTTTAGCCACCTCCAAGTAAAGTGCTAAAGCCCAAGAGCCATGTAGTTGGTGACTGTATTTGGTTAATGCCTGTCTCTTATGCATCTTCTAGACTCTAAAATTTAGAGGGTCAGCCTTCCAAAGAAATCTCTAGTTGCACGTTTGGGGGCTTCCAAACTATCACTGTTTTCAGATGGGATTCTACCACATACCTGCAAATTCAGACCATGCAATTAAAGCTTATATGGAGTTCTTGGACAACAAACCCACTTCCCCAAAAGATTGAACTTTTTGAAACAAGGATAGGGACACAAACTTAAGTGGAAATTGTGGGATAGCACTTTCTTTTACACAGTTAATGTAAAAGTAAGTACATTAAACTTATGTTAATTATTAAGAGGGTGCTGTCAACCTTGGTTTATGTCTAAAAGAAATTTCTATGTTGTATAGCTTCCCTGCGAATGAATCGGGGTGAATGCTTATTAAGTAGCCAGTGCCATCTAATCTGCCTACAGACAAATCAGGATTAGTGCTTAATAAACAGGTAATCTCAACGTGAAATGCTCTTTGCTCCTAGCCCTTGAGACCTGCCTAGAGAAACTTCAGCCTGGCACCTTCAGCAAAAATCTGGGAGGCTGAAAGAAGGGCTCCTGTCAGTTTTTGTTATTCTGCCTGCTGCCTGCTGGATTAGACTAAATTTCAGTCTAATTTAAGTTTTATCCTGTTCTCCATTGGCCAGCCAGATAGCTATGGGAAGTGCGCAAGCAGGACATCGGCACAGGAGCAAGGGCAATTGTCATAGAACTGTAGAGTTGGAAGGGACCCTGAGAGATATCTAGTCCACCCCCTGCAATGCAAGAATCTCAACTGAAGAATCCACTATTTTAGTTGTATGAAATAACATGGTGATTTCAACTTCAATATTTGGGAGGCAACAGGTAGACATTTACATACACAAATTGTACTAATTTGTCTCATAAATATTCTATCTTAAAGAACTATCATGTCTGCTGACTTACATAATCATTTAAGAACAATTTGGTTAGCTAACATAGGAATCCATGTTTCATAGCTATAGCCCTCTTGATTTGTTTTTAACTAACTAGAATGGCAAAGATTAGCTAAAACAAGGTTTTAGTCAAGTGAAATCCAAAATAGAATTGGAAACACATACCTTCCAAGAAAGCATTTTGGGAAAGTGGTTAATTTTCTCTTCCGGTCTTTGATCAAATTTCCTTGTCTGCACATCATTTTGTAAAGTTTTTCTCCTTGTTCAGAGATCATCATCCAAGTATCTTGTTCCACACCTAGTTTTAGTCCTCAAAAACAAAAACAAAGTTTTTTTTTTAATTTGAAATGTTTCCAGGTTTTTGTAACTGTAGATTTATCAGATACAAATATACATCTTAGCTATAAGATAAATATATAAGTTATTTGGCTTTTATAACAAAACTGGAATGGTAATGTTATTGAGAGTGGCATTTGAACCATTTCCAACAAAGTAATATATGCAATCAATTTTTGTACAGTGGTACCTCGAGTTAAGTACTTAATTCGTTCCGGAGGTCCGTTCTTAACCTGAAACTGTTCTTAACCTGAAGCACCACTTTAGCTAATGGGGCCTCCCCCTGCTGCCGCCACGCCGCCAAAGCACGATTTCTGTTCTCATCCTGAAGCAAAGTTCTTAACCCGAGGTAATATTTCTGGGTTAGCAGAGTCTGTAACCTGAAGCGTATGTAACCTGAGGTACCACTGTATATATGAAAAGAGATACCGCAATGCCCAAGAGATTCTATAAGGCCTTTCATTTCCAGTTATAAAGACTTCATAACAAAGTAAGAAGAGCCTGCTGGGTGAAGCCAATGGCCGATCAAGTCCAGCATCCTATTATCACAGTGGTGAGCCAGATTCCTGTGAGAAGCACATAAGCAGGAGCTGAGCTTCTGCCCTCCTGTGGTTTCCAGCCACTGGTATTCAGATCTCAGACAAATGATCTGGGCAAGATCCCTGCCAAATGCAATAATGGCTACAGTCTTTTCAGTCATCACCATTCAACAGTGAACTCATCTCACAGTGATTCTAAAAGTCCAAAAGGGCTGAGTACCAGTCTACCTGCGGGTTTGCCAGAAAAACCAGAAAATAGCTACAGTACCAGCTCGTCAAAATTAGATAATGAGGGAAGGGTCAGAAGTTCATAATCAAATAAAAGCAGTACAAACAAAACCTGGTATCAGCTTCTGTTACAGAAGAATCGCCTTTGCAAACTACAGCCTAGCTACTATATTTCTTGACTTTCTGCTACTGCAAGGACTTTTAGCTGTGCAATGGAAATTCTCCACCCTCCTCTCCCTGCACAAGCCCTGAATCTGCTCTGGAGGGTTGGGAGAAGCCCCAAAACAGATTTAGGGGTCATGTGGGGTCAAGCAGAAGAGAGGGCAGGGAATTTCCATTGCACGTCTAAAAGTCCTTGCACTAGTGGAACTGTTTAGTCAGATAGTGCCATAAAGAAAGGAAAAAGTAAGCGTACAGAGCCATGGAATTACACCTCCCTCACCACTCCTCAGCCTTGAGGTCTAACATACACACAGAAGTGTTCCAGAGCTGGACCAGATCCTAGAAGGTAACAATACTTTATAAAGAATGCCTTGGCCAGCCACTTTGAACCAGTAGCAGTTGGTGAGACAGCACTGCTTAGCTGACCTCCCAACACTGTGTCACTGTGGCATACTGCAAGGGCGATGGGGAAGAGCAAAGCAGTGAAGAGGTCAGTACAGGGCAAACACTCTAGTTCAGCCAAGCTAGTGTTCCTGCTTGTGTGTTTGCACCATGCCAACTTCCCAGCTGCATCACTTGTCACCCTCCCAGTATGCCATCAGTGACAGGGGATCAGGTAAACATCACCACACCATCGAAACCTACTGCTCTGTTTTGCAGGGTATTAATACAGGGTGATTCATAATGAAGTATACAGTTTCCAGGTGCTGTAAGACAGTAACAGGCAACAACACAGACCACAACTGCAAACCGAGAGGTAGATGTACTCATAAAGTTTTTGTTCCGCTACTGAGGGAAGTGATGTAAGTGATAGCGCATGTGTCACATGACTAGTCAGGCAAAATGGCTGTGTCTGCAGTGAGAAGGCATTTTGTGTTCTTGAACTGAGCAAAATGGAATCTGTAACTGTTGTGCAGAAAATGTATCTACGGTTGGCATTAAAAAATTGAAACTATGGGCTGATTTTGCAAACTTAGAACTCCTAGATGGCCGTATGTATCAGAAGAAGTCGTCAATAGTGTTTGCACCACCATTCAACGAAGCCTAGGAAAATCGATGCATAGGGTGAGTCATGTTTGGGCAAAAATGGATTAGCGGTTCAATGTGTGTCGTGTGACAAAGAACATCTGGGACTGTTTCTAAAAAAACTTTAAACATTCCCCTACAATTCTGTTACACTTAACGTAAGATATATTACATTCTTCTTCTTTTTATAGTGCATTGAAACGGTATACTTCATTATGAATCACCCTGTGTTATTGGTTGAATTTGTCTGTACTTATAAACTGTTTGCATCATGAGTGCCAATTATAAGGATAGGACCCTTCAAAGGTGAGGCTACTCAGTGGCAGCAATGGGTGAACTCTCCTCAGCTCAGTTCAGAATTAGGCTCCACTAATACATTTTTTTATTGAAAAACAATTACAGTATAAATCTGTTAAATATAGATTTAATTCTCCACAGTTTTTAAATTCCAAAACTTGGAAATTGTGTCACATGCCCAACGGCATAATTGGGAGCAAAAAGGGCCCAAACATTTACCCAGAATGCCTCACCCGTGAGCTGTCACCCATTTCCTTCATCCCAAATTCATTTGTCAGTGGCAGCAGCACCATGAACAACCAGGTCTCCTTTGTTCCCTAATGCCTAGAATACTGAAAAGGCAGAATTCCAGACTGCAGGGACCATGAGACATTTAGTTTTCTAGTGCACCTGGGTAATTAGCAGGGATGTGGACAGAGCATGTTCCAGGTTTGTTTGTACCTGGGATGCTGTTAAATATACCCTTAGCAGTGCCAGGAGACCTGGGGTCATGTGGTTTCCAGGATGCCTGATAGTTCTACTGACTACTCAAATACCATGGGGAGACAATGTGTTCCCCGAGCTCCTTGCTGATTTGGATATTGTCAGAAGCTCAGCTTACATTCCAAGTGGAATAACTCTGCAAGGAAGTGGCACTTGGTTCTTAATACAGCTGAGTAATACAAGCAGCAGAAATTTTAAACCTGATAGAAGCAGACTTTTATTTATTTGTTTGTTTGTTTGTTTGTTTATAAAAGTATTTATATACTGCCACATCATAAAATAAAGGGGTGCTGTACGTGTTAAAACATAAAACATCATTTAATTTTTTTAATGTAATTATTCTCTAAGGTTACTGGCCAATCAAAAGTAAGCATTAAATATCTGCAAAGGACTGAAAGTTAAAAGGGAGAAAATTAGGAAAATGACATCCTCATCGCTTAAAAATCACAGGGGCGGGGAGATGAGTGATCATATGCCTTCCCCTCGTCTCCCTTTCTTTTTTCAAGTAACAGCATTTAAGATCACAAGATCTCTACTTCAGAAAGTCAGCTGAATTTCTTTTCCAGTTATCCGTGTGCAAACTTTTCAATTCGTTTGCATCCAGGGAAGTGAGCAGAATTTTGGCCAATGCTGTTGTATGAAGCAAACAAAAGAATTAAAATTTCTCTTTATTCACGTTGAATGGAATGCTGTTTACTGCCACTTTTAGCAAAAGCATTTGAATTTTTGCAAACTGTGCTGTTCGTGAATCATCGGCAATTCTGCTTGCAATTAAGGCATCCTGCTTTGTAAAAGAGGTGTTTACACAGATGTTTCAGTTATAGTTAGCAGGAGATGGCAGAAAAAAATAAAGGTTGTAAATATAAGAATTATTTGAGAGATGTTTCAAAAGCTTCTGTCTTGAGAACTGATGTGATAGATCATCCTGCTCTTACTGTCTTGTTTTTGCCAAAGCCTTTGGTTATACTTTTTCCTGTGTCTTGACTCCTTTCTATACAGTGGCTTCTTTGTGCATTAAAACCACAGTACTCACACAAGACTCATGGGAGACTCAAAACACATTCCTTCACCTAATGTTGCCATTGATGGATGATCCAAACACCTTTCATTATAGTGGCACCTCAACTGCAGGGAAATCATGGTTCCCCAGGACTTTGTAGGTGGAATTCGCTGATAAAATTCAATAACTTCCTAGTCAAGCATTTCTGTTGCTCCTATAATTGTTGTGTGTCCGGGCACCTATTGATTACTGCTTAAAAAACCATTTTTATACAGTGGCAAATGCTGATGTATTTGGAAACCATTCAAAAATTTGGAGGACTATATTTTATTTTTTTCAGTTTTGAGACAAAATACTCCAAGCTTTACAAGTTGAGAAAGAGCCTTCACGTAGTCTTTTATATCCACCCTCCTCCCATGCTGCATTGCCCCATCATCTCATGAATGTGTATTCCTGTTCTATCTCCTATTGTTGTCTAAATAGGCAGGGGGCAACATGAATGGTGAATGGAAGAAAGGAATCTCCAACATATTTTTTGGTAAGAGTGCCAGCTCAGATCCCCAAAGGAAGCAGAATAAAGTGTGTCAATTAAGGCATGAAAGAAATAATGGGGGTTGAATTCTTCTTGGCTCAGGCTGAGGAAATCCTCAGATAGGAGGCACAAAGCCAATTCCCTCCAAGTGTGATATTGCCTAGAAATAACCCACAATTTGACATTTATGCTCTTACCTTTTCTCCTTTCTCTTTCTTTCAGAATAGCTTCCAGCCATTCCTGCTTTTCTTCGGGTGTTTTAGCCATACACACAAACCATTTATTCTTTGCTGTGTTGTGTATCTTCCAACCATTGAGAACTATGTGACCACTGCTGTGATAATCAGCTAGAAAAAGGTAACACAAAGGAAACTTTGGAGGATGTGCATGAATGTTTGGCAAGTAAACCCTCTGGCCCATACGAAGTATTTTCTGATCCCACCCTGAGACAGGAAAATTACCCTCAACACTACCAGCACACACACTGCCCTCCTTTAAAAAAATCAATAGAGTCCTCAGATTTTATTATCTACCTCAACACCAAACAATCATCATGGGAGATAAGCTTCTCCCTGAGAGTGAAATGTGAAATACATTTATCAAGGGTTGGATCCAACTAAGTTAGAGCAGACACATTGAAATTAGTGTTAGTCATTGTCCATTAAGTTCAATAGAAGCCATGTTGGATACAACCCAAAGACACAATGAATCTTGGCCTATAAGAACGTTGCAATTGATGAGCAGCTTCTGTCTTTTAGAGGAACATGTCCACTGAGGCAAGATATACTGTCCAAATATGCAAAGTATGGCATAAAATTCTGATTTTGTTGCAATTCCTCATCATCTTGCTTATGATGCAGACATAGTATTCAACAGCGCAGGCAGATCTGGGCTACTGATGTGGTTACCCAATGCTACGAAACACCTATTGATGGACAGTTCAAATAATAAAAAAGACTTTATGAGGTCTGAAACAGCTAAGTGCCCCATTGAATGCTTAATGAATGTTTTCTCCTCAGAGTGTACTACCACTAACTAATTTTGTCACCACAAAGCTATACTGGCTCAGAACAGCAGCTCATAAAATAGACTATGTGCCTTTGTTTAACTCTTCTTATTCTTATAATCTTTATTTAATTTCTGCTAACTACTGCCAGATTACTGCATGAATATTAAACCTATATAAAAGGTAAAGGTAAAGGTACCCCTGCCCGTACGGGCCAGTCTTGACAGACTCTGGGGTTGTGTGCCCATCTCACTCTAGAGGCCGGGGGCCAGCGCTGTCCAGAGACACTTCCGGGTCACGTGGCCAGCGTGACAAGCTGCATCTGGTGAGCCAACGCAGCACACGGAAACGCCGTTTACCTTCCCGCTAGTAAGCGGTCCCTATTTATCTACTTGCACCCGGGGGTGCTTTTGAACTGCTAGGTTGGCAGGCGCTGGGACCGAACGACGGGAGCGCACCCCGCCACGGGGATTCGAACCGCCGACCTTTTGATCGGCAAGCCCTAGGCGCTGAGGCTTTTACCCACAACGCCACCCGCGTCCCATTAAACCTATATAGATTATACCTATATAGATTATTGCAAACATAAAGAAATGCAAAACCAACAGAATAGCTCAAAAAGAAGATGCATTTATATTTAGTTACAACAACCATTTTAGATTATCTCCTTGGTTCAGATGCACATACCGGTGCCATCATCTACATTCTCGACTTCCATCACCTCTGTGTTTATTCTGCCCCGGAAGAGATAACGGTGGCCTTCTGTTGATGCTCTGCTGTTCTTCAGTCGTCTTATGGTGAGAGTAGGGGAGAAAGAGCAATGTTCAGACATTGACTTTGCTATTTTTACTCCAGAATCATCACAACTATTAATCATTATTACCAATTAATTATATTACAGATGCAACAAATCTTTTTTTAAGGGCTACTGTCCATTTCTGTATGCTGTGATAAAAAAATTTTTTATAATAAAGTTAAGCTTGAAAAGACAGGCAAGAAGGATACCTTGCAAACCTATTGTTTCCCCCAAAAATCTTTAAGTGTAGTTGCTTTGTATTCTACAGAGTGTATAATTTAAAAAATTTAATGCATATATTAACATTAAAGTAGCTAAATCAAAATATCAGAAATATTTTTAACATTAAAATCGACATCATTTTGTTTTATGGAGTCAGTCTTCAGTGCGTGTTTCTTACCTGTGTTTTCTTTTGCAGTAGACCAGAAGGTTGTCAAAAAGAAAAAACACCCGTTCCTGAATATTTCCTGCAGATATTTTCAGCAAAACTCCATACATCAGCATTTCTGTGCACGTGTCTGTGATGTTAGATCCCTACCCAAGAAACATATTTTTAAAAATTGATTGGATCCTAAAGGCTGGTAAAGATTGGCAAAACCAAGATATATAAAATTTGGGACCGGTTTACCTACAAGATTGCCTTACCCCATATTTGCCCACTTGACTGCTTCAATCAGCGGAATTGGCACTTTTACAGGTGCCACATAACACACTGCATATGTAAGAACTTCGGAATTCCCTACCTATTGATATGAGGCAGGCGCCTTCACTGTACTCTTTTCAGGGTCTGCTGAAAACATTCTTATTTAGACAAGCCAACCAAGATATTTAGAAAGCTTATATGAGTTTTAATTTGTTTTAGTCTATTCTATTGTGGTTTTAACTTTATGTACGTTTTAAATTATGGTGTAAATTCTTTAGTGATAATGTCATTGTTTTATATTTTTGTAAACTACTCTGGTGTTTTTTCTACATATTTCATCAAAAAAGTGTTTTTTTGCAAGAAAAAAAAACCCAATCTGCAGATTTTAATCAAGAAAGCAAAATAACACACTTTATTACAAGTATGGGGGGGGCAGTGGTTTTTGGCCAGAACTCTTCCAGAGTGCTACCAGATCTTGGTTGAAAAATTTTGCTTCCCTCTAAATCTAATGACCGGCTTTCAGTATTGCGTTTCCCCTTAAACTGTTCTCATACATAAGAAGATTGCTGCCCTGGGATCCTTTGGGAGGAAGGGTAAGATATAAAATTAACTAAGTAATTATATGGTGTCAGGTTATTTGCTCTTGAGTGGCAGCTGCTCTCAGTGGTCTTTCTCACAAGAAGGACATGTAGGCTGCAGCAATTTCCCACTGTTCCCCAGCAATTGATAGCTTATATCCATTATTACTAGTAGCCATTGATAGCCTTAAAAAGGTAAAGGACCCCTGACAGTTAAGTCCAGTCGCAAACGACTCTGGGGTTGTAGCCCTCTTCTTGCTTTACTGGCCGAGGGAGCTGACGTTTGTCCGCAGACAGTTTTTCCGGGTCATGTGACCAGCATGACTAAGCCACTTCTGGCAAAACCAGAGCAGTGCACGGAAACACCATTTACCTTGCCGCTGTAGAGGTACCTATTTATCTACTTGCACTTTGACGTGCTTTCAAACTGCTAGGTTAGCAGGAGCTGGGACTGAGCAACGGGAGCTCACCCCGTCGTGGGGATTTGAACCGCCGACCTTCTGATTGGCAAGCCCTAGGCTCAGTGGTTTAGACTACAGCGCCATCCTAAATTCCTGCACACCATTCTACTTTGGGAACATGAAAACTTGTACTGCACCCCTAAACATATTTCCTTGGCTATAAGCATGAACGCTATCAACGGAACCTGCTTTAAGGTAAAATAAGCTGAGGGCTAGAATGTTAGTAATTATGCGTGGTTCAGAATGTATAGCTAAGCCATTTGTACAAGTCAGAACAATGCTAAATTAGGAACTATAACATCTAGCATAATGACATCTAACATTATTAATTGATTGGCTGAGCAAAATGATTTCTTTAAAAGGCACTCTAAAGAATAGGTAAAAAACCAATAAAATAATGTGCTTTCGCAGCCACTTATTTGCACTTTGTTATATGTGCCTAAGAAGTGCAGTACATGGACCATCAAATACCATGAAGATGATTCATGCTACTGTGTCCTTTGAGACGTAACTACAAATCAAAAACAAGATAGCCGTGATCTGAAACCTATCAATAAAAATAACTGTTTGTAACAGACTACAACATACTCTCTAATTAACTTGCCGGCTAGAAAACAATTGTGTTTGAGTTACTCCATGCAGTATCAGGGGTTTCTTCTCTTGTGAATCCAAAAACGTTGCTACCTATTTTTCTAACAGCTGAGATCCTGCTATATGAACATCATCTCAGACAAGCTGTACTTTAATGAGGATATTAAATTTAACAATGTAATGTGATTTTTTAATAATGAGGATATTAAATTTAACAATATAATATGATTTTTAAATAAAATTAATTGAAGTTTTAAAGACTATATTCTTTTTTTAAAAAAAAAATCTGTATTCCCACAATTTTTTTAATTGTCAGCAACACAAGATTAGCTTATGAAACTTTTGTGTAGGAATGCAAGTCATGCTTTGATCCTCCATCAGATGCTAAAAATAGTCCTCTTCCCAGCTAAGCAATGTGCTAAACATTTTCTTCTGACAGAAAATCTCTAACAAGTGTGCTTCTCTGTTCTTAAGCATTGTAGCAAACCAGATGTTTAGTTAATTAAACCAGCTCTTGCAGTGTAGAAGAATTTATTGCAAAGAAGCCTCCGAAAACTGCCTAGCTTTTGCAGAAACCATTTAAATTCGGAGAGTTTGAAGTGGAAAACTATCATATGAAGAAAAAGTCTTCCTTTACTGGGTATTAACTTGTAACTAAAACAGACCTTCAAAGATTACTAATAGAGGGCTGGATGTGACATCACCTTACTGAAAAACTATTATCCAACATTATGTTAGTGGTACAAAACATAGGAAGTTACTCTGAGCTGAAGCAACCAGCTCAAAGCTCTTTGCACACTGAGCTTCTCAGGTAGACTTGAGGTTGAACAACAGGTTTGATTACCCATTTTCCTTCCAAGGTAAGGGAAAGTGACCTCACTAAGCCTGGCAAGACAGCTTACTCTTACCCCATCTTGCACTAATTCGACTTACGTTGGTAATATGAGGCTGGTTGCCCCATAATAACTAATATGTGTTTTGATTTGAACATAGTAACACAGGAATAAAGGTAGAAATAGATTATACCGTGAATACTTGGCTACTGCCAAAAGCAGTAACATCAAGTAAATCTCAGTTCACAACGGCGATGTGAGTTTTCCTAACCACACTCTTTTCCCTCAGTGCCTTGGTATGACATCACATGCTTTCTGTGACTAAAGCTTATCAAGGGACGGAAAAAAGAAAGTATTGAGTGACTGCATTTGTCACCAACCATCCAGTACTCGTATTGTACAGCAGGGCTCATGCTATAAAGGAAAAGGCAGAGAATCCATAATGAAATCCACAACCCATCTTCTGATACCTCATCCCAACCCTCTCAACTTCAGCTAAATCATGCCCTCTAAACCATGCATTAAGAATATAATAAAAGCCCTGCTGCATCAGGCTAAAGGCTCATCTAGCCCATAGTCTCACAGTGGCCTACCAACCAGGTGCCTACGAGAAGACCACAAGCAGAACATGAGCACAAAAACATGATTCACAGTAATCCATATTCAGAGACATACCACCTCCATCAATGGAGGGGGAACATAGCTATTGTGGCTAAAGGTAAGGGACCCCCCCCTCATTCTCCTGAAATTCAAGCATCCACCCAGAGTGTTCCATTGACAGATAAGAGAAAGAAGTTGAGACATGGTAGTAATCATAATGGGAAGGGGGGTGGAGACAGAATCAGGATGCTCCCTTACACGCGTTTCCCTACCATAACACACATTTCCCCATTTGTCCTGAAAGAGACAGGGTAGTGAAAGGGAATCTCATCTTAATCCCACCCTCTGCTTCACCCACTGAAAATATAGGTGGTGTCTCCCGCAATGGTTTTGGGGCAACAGTCAAAAGAGACCCTCCTGCTGCCTTGCCCAATCCTCAAATTTCTGTTATTAATCCTACAGACAAGAACTCACGCAGTTCACAAGTATAATATTATTCCTACTATCAAGAAAAGGGACAAAGCATTTTATTCTAATTGTGAGTTATGGACTGTTCCCAATATGTCACATAATGTACCAAGCTGAATATAAATCAGGCAACATGTGCAGACATCTAAATGCCTCCCACATCTGATAAAATGACAAAAATTGTGACATTACCTCCCATCCTTCAATGTGAGACTGCCATTCTTCTAAAACCTCTAATTTTTCCATCTGTCTCTTGGCCTCGTTTATGTTGGAGCAGACAGCTTTCATGGCTTGGAGAGCTTCCATTAAGGCTGCGTAGTCACTGTGTTTTTTGGGAGTGCGCTTTATCAACTCCTTTTTTAAAAGAAAAGAAAAGAAAAGAAAACAATTAATCCCTGCACTTTCACACTAATGAAAACCAATTCCCGCACTTTCACTGCTCATCATTTCACTGTTGGGGAAGAACCACAGCTCAGTGGCAGAACATCTGTTTTGGACATAGAAGATCCCAGGTTTAGTCCTCATCATCTCCTGTTAGGGATGGGAAAGGTCCCTGCATAAAACTCTGGGGAGCTGCTGCCAATCGTTGACTAGATGGGCCAATGGTCTGACTCACCATAAGACAGATTCCTATGTTCCTATTATAGGAGACAAGCTGTAGTGTCATACACACTTACTTGGGAGCAAGCCTCAGTGAATCCAGAAATATTCATAGGAATGACCAATCAAACTGATAGGGATACTAAAACTAAATATTAGGCATTAGTACCCTCTTTTATTAAATCTATGCTTAATTCTTCCATTCAATTCTCTCATGGGACTTCCCCAATTCCTTCCCTGGACTAAGTAGCACACACCAGTCCACAGCGTACTGCAGGATAGGGATTTCAGGGGCTCCACAAATATGCAGCATGGAAAAAGGGAAATGCTAGCCCCATCCTTCAGAGATGCTGATAGAAGCAGGCAATGGAGACAAGCTCCTGGCAAACAATGGGAGGGAAGGACACAGCATCCAGCAGTAGATATGCATGAGAGAGGAAGGAAGTAGGGTTTCTCCTGAGCAGTCTTCTCTAATCTGGTACCCTCCAGATATTTGGGACTTCAACTTTCATCAGCCACAGCCAATCTATCACAGATGTTGTCAACTCCCTTAGTCCAAGCACGGAACCTGTCAGTCACAAAGCAGTTCCTCGCAGCGGCACTACTCTCTCCAACATTTCCCCGGTTAGGGACAAAGATGCAAATTGCTAGAATGATCCCAGTGTTGCTTGCCTGCTAGAGTTTCACACTTGTTCTTTATATCCCTTCACCTAAAGGATTCTGCAGGCATAACATGGAAAAATGGATCAGATCCAAAAGTAAACTTCCATCAAGCACAATAGGGGAAAATGTGGAATGATAAGTCTCATTTGCTTCAGGAAAGGGATTATCATTACTGAACATCAAACAGAATTTAACAAAGAATATGTTTTCAGTATAAAATATTCTAAGCAACAAAAATGCATACCTTCAGAAGAAGTGGATACTTGCATATTCTCTGGATTGGTGTTACTAAATAACCTTCCAATGGTACATCAGTATTCTTCCGTCCTCCTAACAACATGCAGTTCTAGAAAGGAATTGAAACACTTAATTCTTTTGGAATTAACTTCTCCATTGTCAATATTATGCTCCTGGATCTTGCTTGAGTGCTCAGTTTTCAGACGGTTTCACTGGGTGGCAATGCCTTTTACCAAATTCCCTTTATTAGCAGGCTGCAGACATTCCTCTGTTATTATGGCCAAAGTTGCCACAAAAGAACATAAGAGGAGCCTTTTGGATCAGACCAGTGGTCCATCTAGTCCAGCATCCTGTTTCCACAGTTTTCTGAGAAGAACTTAGTCTCTATTCAGCCAGACCTTTCCTCACTTGCATTTGAGCCATCTCCCAGTTTATTTCCTCACCTAAAGCTCTACAGTATACCAGAGAGCCAAGGGGGCTCCACGAAACAGGAAAGGGCACTAAGGAGTGATTGTGTCAACAGCCTGAGCCCCATTTGGCTGTTCCAGAGGTCAGCCAGGGCTTTGACAGAAGCGCCAGTCATATCAGCCAGAAAATCCCTCAGAGCTGACTAAAAACATATTGGATCAATCAGCCTTTGAGGGTGGACCACCTCTGCAGAGGGGGAAAGGTGCTGAAAGCCTCAATCTCTTTTTTTTTTAAAAAGATATTTATTAAAGTTTCAAAATATTACAAAAAGAAAAAAAGAAAAAAGAAAATACAAAGTACAGAAAAATAAAAACAGTTAAAAACAAATCAATCTTTCCATATCTTATCTTTCATTTGCTTGTATCCCTGACCTCCTCACACCTCCCTTTTTTGTATTCCAGTTCAATTAGTTAATTCAGCAAATCCTTTCCCTCTTTGTTTTTATCTTAATCCTTTATCTTAATATATTATAGCTTTAGATTATCACCTGTTAACAATCCATTTTTACATATTCCTTTATATCATTGCTGCTAAAAACCACTTAACTTCATTCCGACATCATTCTAACATTCATTAATTTTGCAGTATTTCTGTAAATAGTCTTTAAATTTCTTCCAATCTTCTTCCACCGACTCTTCTCCCTGGTCTCGGATTCTGCCGGTCATTTCCGCCAGTTCCATATAGTCCATCACCTTCATCTGTCATTCTTCCAGGGTGGGTAGATCTTGTGTCTTCCAATACTTTGCAATAAGTATTCTTGCTGCTGTTGTAGCATACATAAAGAAAGTTCTATCCTTCTTTGGCACCAATTGGCCAACCATGCCCAGGAGAAAGGCCTCTGGTTTCTTCAGAAAGGTATATTTAAATGCCTTTTTTATTTCATTATAGATCATCTCCCAGAAAGCCTTAATCCTTGGGCACTTCCACCAAAGGTGAAAGAATGTACCTTCAGTTTCTTTACATTTCCAACATTTATTATTGGGCAAATGATAGATTTTTGCAGCTTGATTGGTGTCATGTACCACCTGTATATCATTTTCATAATATTCTCTCTTAAGGCATTGCATGTCGTGAACTTCATACCTATGGTCCATAACTGTTCCCAGTCAGCCATCATTATGTTATGTCCAACATCTTGTGCCCATTGAAAGCCTCAATCTCAGCAGGAAGTGTTCTGACCATGACCATGACTATTTGTTGTATGTGTGACCTTTTATGTTGCAAATTTCAATGGGAAAAAGTTTGGGACTGATCCAACCATGCAAGGCAGCCAAACTTCAAGAGTTTCCTACATCCGTTACACAAGATAGCTTGGGAGAGTGAGTCCTGCTGCACTTTTGAAGAAGGTACACAGAGACAACTTAGCAGCTTGCTGACTGAGTCATATCTGCTGAATACTAGCATAGTTGAGAGCTTTTAAATACCAGTTCCTGGGAACCACAGGAGGGGAGAGGGCTCATGTGTTCAGATCCTGCTTGAAGGTTCCCCCACAGGCATCTGGTTGGCCACTGTGTGAATAGGATGCTGAATTAGATTGGCCTGATCCACCAGCCTCTTATTATGTTCTTAATCTCTATTGCCATTGAAGCAGGACTCTGGGGCAGAAACCAGGGGCAGAAACCAGGGCCCAACTCAGCAGAGTAAATAGCGAGCGGGCCTGGCTTACCACATTTTTGAAGTGATACACATTTCCCTCCAAAAACAGCACACACACACACACACACACACCTAAGCCCACTTTTGTAATGGTACCTGGACATAAGACACAAGACAGTTGTAAGGAGGAGGAAGTGAAGAACTTACAGACATTAAAAATGAATCTATTCTTCGTATTATAATCAATACACTGCTTAGTATATGTTATGACAGAGCAGGGTTTTTGTTTGTTTTGTTTAAATCACTCTATAAATATCCCTATATGTATTTTGCTGTATAATTTGTTTCTAAACCAGGCATACAGAGCTGCTCTGTAAAATCGTCGCAAGACGGCACTGATTGTGTAATGCAAGCAGACTCTCTAGAAGCATTATTTTGGTGATCTTCTTATCTTGTGTAAAGAATTACACAACTTTTAGAAGACATCTGAAGGAAGCCCTGTATCAGGAGGTTTTTAATGCTTGATGTTTTTATTACATTTTTAGATATGTGGTATATGTGATATATTTTAGATATTTTTAGATATGCGGGACGCGGGTGGCGCTGTGGGTAAAACCTCAGCGCCTAGGACTTGCCGATCGTATGGTCGGCGGTTCGAATCCCCGCGGCAGGGTGAGCTCCCATCGTTCGGTCCCAGCTCCTGCCCACCTAGCAGTTTGAAAGCACCCTTAAGTACAAGTAGATAATAGGGACCGCTTTATAGCGGGAAGGTAAACGGCGTTTCCGTGTGCTGCGCTGGTGCTGGCTCGCCAGAGCAGCTTCGTCATGCTGGCAACGTGACCCGGAAGTGTCTTCGGACGGCGCTGGCTCACGGCCTCTTGAGCGAGATGAGCACGCAACCCCAGAGTCGGACACGACTGGCCCGTATGGACAGGGGTACCTTTAACTTTACCTTTTTAAGCCGTCCAGAGAGGCTGGGGAAACCCAGCCATATGCCAGATGGGTGTGGTATAATAATAATAATAATAATAATAATAATAATAATAATAATAATAATAATTGATCATCCTCATCATCATCTACAGCCATGGATAAATGTAATTGGAGCAATCTCCTTACAAGGAAAATCCCAAGTGCCAGGAGTTTTGACATTTAGAATAAAAGACAGTGGGTGCAGCATAGGACATGAAAGGGATTTATGGATGATGTAGAGAAAGTAAACAGTGAAAGCTTTCCCCCTCTATTTCATAACACTAGAACTTGAAGTATTCAAATTATATTGATGGAGGAACTCATTCACGCAACTCATAATTAATTTATGACATTCATTGCCACATGATGGCCACTAACTTAGCTGGAAATGCCATGGAGGTGAGTTTCTATCAATGGATTTTATGAAATGTGGTATATCACCCTCAGAACCTTTGAGTTAAAAAGTGTAGATACATTATTAATACTAAGGTGGTGGTGGCATCCAAAGGCAGTCTACAAATACTAGATGATGGAGAAAAATGCCAGGGCAGCAGCCATTGATTGTTTCCATGAACTTTATTGGAGTCACCTGGTTGGCGACAAAATAGACCTTTGGTCTTGACCTGCCAGGGCTCTTTGATTCTTTCTGCCCTTAAAACAGGCAAAGATTTCACTTTTGACAATAACTTATCAATTTATCAGTTTAAACAAAAGACTTAGGTACAGAATACAAATAAATATTAGCTTACCAGTAGAAAAGCCCGTACTGTTCTTATTTTGTTAAGCTCAAGCAGAAGTTTTTGTGCCTTCTCATGGTTACTACAGTATTCATCATAGATCCGAAATTTGTCTTTCTGTGGGGGGCAATTTTATATTAGTCATTTGGTCTCCAGGTTTGCTTTTTAACTTTTTGGTTAAACATTTTTTAAAGGCCTAAGTAACATATATAAAACAGATAACTGAACTCAGTTAGATAAGTAAGTAAATAAAACTATAAAATACAAACATATTACGCCCAATACTGGAAAACTAACCCCAGACAAAACCAGACAGGAAGAACTAGTGCTCATTTCCATTTAAGTGTCAGCTTCATAGTTCAGTTCAAGTAGTTTTTGTGCTCTCTCACTGATTCTAAACCCAGTGCACCGTGAATACTAGATGTAACTGCAAAACTGCATTTTTGGCAGAATTACAAGGTAACACTTCATGCCAAAGAATGCATTGCACAGACTGCCACTCATTTCCACAGCAAATGCGCTTTAATGTAAAATGCTTTTTGCACCTGACTGAAAAAAATTAAATCTATTTTTTTAATGTGGTAAATCATTATAACTGACTCCAGCAGTGTATGCTAAAGGGTACCTTGATGCGGGGGAAACGCAGTGTATCATGCTATCTACAAAATGAACACTGAAACTGTAAGGCTTTCCTTTTTCTCTGTGACTCTGGCTTCCAAGTGTCCTGGAAAGACCTTTAATTATGCAATCAAGTCTGTTTTTGTCCTCAGTGTGAAGTGTACATGAGCTACCATGCCAGAATTCTTTTTTTAAGCTGAGCTGAGGAAGAGAAAATCAATTAAATATGAAGCTTATATTATGAAAGTTGACATACAAAGTGAAGAAAGCAGGCTCCCACTTCTTGTTGGGCATTGGGTTCAGGATTTAGACATTCTTCAATACTAGACAGGAAGTCCTTGTGCGCTTCAAGAATATCTTCAATGTTTGAGAACAATGTCTGTAAACAAGAAGCCCAGAGAATGAATGAATGAATGAATAGAAATAAAGTACAATACATAAAATGAGAGTAAATAACAACTAACCTTAACTGTTTCTTCCGTAACATTTTTCTCAATCTTGGAAAAAGCCCATTGCATTATTCTGTGAAGGAATGCCTTGAGAGAGAGGGAGAAAAATAAAAATAAAGAAACTGCCCAGGCACTGAAAAGCTTTAAGGCAAAGAAGTATTGTTTTGAGATCCAGTGTGGTTTAGTGGTTAGAGTATCAGATTAGGGTCCAGGAGACCAGGGTTCAAATCCCCACTTGGCCATGAGGTTCACTGGGTGGCCTTGGGTTAGTCACTGCCGCTCAACCTAACCTACCTCACAGGGTTGTTCTGGGGATTAAATGAAAAGGGAGGGAGCCATGTATACTACCTTGAGCTGCTTGGATTAAAACATGGGATAAAAATACAGTACAATGGTACCTCAGGTTAAGTACTTAATTCATTCCAGAGGTCCGTACTTAACCGGGAAATTGTTCTTAACCTGAAACACCACTTTAGCTAATGGGGCCTCCTGCTGCTGCTGCTGCTGCGCCGCCAGAGCACGATTTCTGTTCTCATCCTGAAGCAAAGTTCTTAACCTAAAGCACTATTTCTGGGTTAACGGGGTCTGTAACCTGAAGCGTATGTAACCTGAAGCGTATGTAACCCGAGGTACCACTGTAAGTAAATAAGTAAATAACCATGTTAGTCTATAGCAGCAAAAATATGTTTAAAAAATAAATATAATTATTATAATTCGCTTTGTACTACTGACAGCAATATCAAATTATATTATTGCTGTCAGTAGTACAAAGTGAACTGAGAAGGTGGCGCACTATGCCACTGATTACAGTGAAGTTAACAAGATGAGAACTGAAGAATATAAATGCATGTCTCAAGAGAGTTTCAAACACGAATATAATAATTTATTGGCAAAACATGGTAATAGGGAGAAACCATGTATTAAAAGGGGGGGGGGTAATGAACTGTAATGTGATAAATGGAAGGCTGAAGCTACCCTCAGTCACGTACAGACACTTTTCCCATAGCATAAGCACCAAGTGAGATTTTCTCCCAAATAAACATGACTTGTATTAGAACGTTATGGATACGGACCATTTTCTTATCCAGTTGTGGCTAGGCAGCAATGGTTGCGGTAGCTTCCACAATCTCATTACTCTTTTGTTACCCTGGTGTCTCAGGCTTCCAGACAATAGTTTCATAATCACACACCCTTGAGTGGGGGACAACGACACACAATTGTTCAAGTCTCACCTCCAAGTATTTTATGCATGATGTGGAAAAAAGTAGGAAAACAGAAGCCAAACTATGTATATATGTTGTAAGGGACAGCCTAGTCAGGGGTGAGGAAGTTCAGGCCAGCAAACCAAACACATCCCTAGACCATGGGACTCTCTCCAAGCCACACATCTCAGTGGTTTTACTTCACAGCCTCCTTGAGTGTTTTAACTTGGCTGGAATATGCCCTTGATCTCTGACTCTTGATTGCTGAACAGAGTATAGAAAGTAAGCTACTTAACAAAGGTAGAATTTTAACTTATGAGACCCTTAGGCTGAAGAAGGTTCCTCACACTTGGCCTAGTCAGCCACAAAAGTGCTCACAACAGGTGCTCACACAGAGCAGACATCTGCTATGGGGCACCAACAGAAGATATGCATTTGTGCAGTACAAACATGGCCTCTGTTTGCATGACTTTACAACATCAGGTAGGAACACTGACAGCCAGATGCTGAATATTGAAATCAACCAATATCTGAAATTGATGGTCTAGATCAGTGTTTCCCAACCTTGGGCCTCCAGATGTTTTTGAACTACAATTCCCATCATCCCTGACCACTGGTCTTGCTAGCTAGGGATGATGGGAGTTGTAGTCCAAAAACAGCTGGAGGCCCAAGGCTGGGAAACACTGGTCTAGATAACCGTACTAGGGACACAGTTGATCTTTAAACCAGCAATGTCGCTGGAATCCTAAGGAGCATATTTTTCATATCTCTGCATGCCTTTTATGATATATACCGTACTTATCTTCTAAGACAGTTAAGATGTATACTATATCATAAATTAGGAACAAGACAGAATAAGTAGATAGCTTTAGCAGCATGACAAATATGGAAGAGCTTACAGGAGCCCTATCAATTTATGAGAGGTGCCTGGGGCATCAATGATGGAAAGGTGCAATACAGACACATACTTCCTAACTGTTAATCATCTTCTCTTAAGTGGCCAGAACATTTTCTCTCTCCCTCTCTCTGGTTTGTGTCTGTTGTCCTTCATCACAGTTTTTATAAGAGACCATCTTATTCTACAACAGAGGTTTTCATACAGTGGAAGTGTGGTAGGTGACTGCTTCCTTCTCCTACAACATAATAATATTATTGGCTTGTATTCTGAGAAACACAAGAAGGGGAATCATGGAAGGGCCTTTCCTCCCCACCCACTTGCAGTCACCAGTGCCCTCCCCCAAAATCCACTTCAGGGGATCAGGGCATGGGGAACAGGACATGGTGGTTCCTGAGAGGGGGTGGAATGCGTAACCCTTGTTCATTTCACGCTATTATTAATTCTTATGAAAACATAAAATATTCTTGCTCTATTAGTTCAACATGTTTACAAAACATCTGCCTGTGTAGATGCTCAATGCTTATTTTTCCAAATGTGTTAGGGTGCAGTCTTAAATTATATTTTCTATTTGTTGTAACCCACCCTGGGACCTCATAGTGAAGGTGGGTGATAAATCATATAAACAAGCAAGCAAATACCGTAATAAAATGGGGCTGGGGGCTGACTGTGGTTGATCTGCCTCATCTAGTGGCCTGCCCGGCAGGACAGTGAAGATGGAACAACACTCTTGTGCTCTTCTTTCTCCCTCCATTGTTTTAAAAATTACAAATTTCCCTTCCATTAAAACTACACCAGCTCCGGGGGGCTAGAAAGACATACCCTCTGATCTACCCTAACAAATCCCATTTTTCAATGTAAGGCAAGGATCATGGAAGTTTCAACACTGGCAGAGAGGGGCATCTGACATCAGAACTCCCTGTTCAAGGCTGGTGTTGTTTTTGCTGTCAGAGAAGGATTCAATGGGAGGGAGGTCCTGGGAGAATGCCCTCTCAAAGACCATAGGATTAGAGGGCTAATTTAAATAAAAGTTTGTAAGTAAACAAGCTTTACTTTTAGAATCAACTGCTTTATTTAACCTACATTTCTGACACTAATTTATAGATGCCGAAATACATAAACATTTGGGATTAGCAACAGATTTACATAAATTACCAGTGCCATATTCATTACTTTGAAGCCCCACCTTAAATTGTGGCAGCCTACCTTTAAGTCACTGAAGCTTGTGCTATAGGATACAGTATTCACATTATTCTAATCTCTTCTGCCTGCTTCCAGCTAATTTCAGTTTTGGAAGACAATTAAAGATAGCACTATAAATGATTGTACTGAGAGCACAAACAACCCAATTGTAATGCTATTTGCATCCTTCAAAAATAAAGAAGCTTATTTTTATGCCCTGCCCCCTGATTAAAGGGATATTACTGGTATTATGGATCATTCAAAAAAATTAACTTTTCCTGAAACTAAAGTCAGATGAAGCAAATTACATCCCCATGTTGCTAACAAATATGTTCATCAGCCCCAGACAGTAGAAACATTGACCCTGCTCCACTGAATTGAAATTTCAGCCTTCATGACATAGGAAAACGGCCAAGTAAACAGCTATTTTCGTGGAGGAGGGTCAAGATATTAAATGAAATTTCATATATAGCTATATAATCCCTAGTGTAGTACGATAAGACCTTTGGAGCAGGTATTTTCAAAAATCTGCCCTAGGTAAAGGTAAAGGGACCCCTGACCATTAGGCCCAGTCATGGACGACTCTGGGGTTGCGGCTCTCATCTCACTTTATTGGCCGAGGGAGCTGGCGTACAGCTTCTGGGTCATGTGGCCAGCATGACTAAGCCGCTTTTGGTGAACCAGAGCAGCGCACGGAAACGCCGTTTACCTTCCCACCAGAGTGGTACCTACTTATCTACTTGAACTTTGACGTGCTTTTGAACTGCTAGGTTGGCAGGAGCAGTCACCTAGCAACGGGGGCTCACCCCGTCGCGGGCATTCGAACCGCCGACCTTCTGATTGGCAAGTCTGATTGGCAAGTTTAACCCACAGCGCCACCCACGTCCCATTGAACCGCCCTAGTAGAGCAGTAATTGTTCCTTGATAATTTGTCACCCCCCTCCATGATGGCACCTGGGATGGCCCGCCCCCCCTTTCCTACGCCCCTGTGACCAGTACATATTTTTGACTTTCACATTTTTTCTCTCTCTTATTTCAACAAAGCTTTGGAAATGTAGTTACTTTCTTTATTCTCGTAATGCTTTTAATGAAAAGTTAAAGACTATATTTAGATAAATAGGCATATATTCATATTATATTCAAAACCCTATCTGTGTTCCTTGAATCATTTGGATGTCAGTTGTGTTACTAACCCATCAGGCAGTATAAATATTTGTATAGAATCTTAATTTGTGTTTAATAGCTTTGATACATGTTAGATGCAAAGAATATACATACAAAATACTATTGAGAGAATTGATGCACTTCCCTCTGTTTCTGCATATAACACATACTTTTTCCGACAGTTCTTACAGAAGAACTGGAAAATGACTCCTCCTTTAGTTCTTCTTCCTATGTCAATTAACCTGTGCCAGCAACAGAGACAGAAGCCAATCATGCTGCTATTTGAGACTGAACAAAAAGACTCTTTTCTCAGTACGTCACCAGCTGGATGAACACCTGTTTCCCCTACTTGGCTGGAGTGCTGATGGCACTAAAAGAAATAAACAACCCACCATCCCAGAACAGAACTACAGTCTGCTTCTATTTTTAAAGAAAACTTCAAGTTCTAAAGTGCAGACTGCGAACCTGCTCCTCAAGGACCACATCCATCCCTTGGTCTCATTTAGGGTTATCATACATCTGGATTTTCCTGGACATGTCCGGGATTCCAATGGTGGATTCTGGGGGGATTTTCGGGAAATTATTCAAATGTCCAGATTTTTAAATGCCCCCCCAAAAAAAGCTCAACAACTTTATGTGCTATT